GTAGTGGCCTTCTTTGTCCTTTATGGTCATTGTTGGTTTAAAGTTCACGTTGTCTGCAAACAGAATGGCTACTCCTGCCTTTTTTTGGATTCCTGCTGCATGAAGAATTGTTTTCCATCCTTTGACTTTCAGTCTGTGAGTATCCTTCTGGGTTAGATGGGTTTCCTGTAAACAGCATATGGTTGGATTTTGTTTCTTGATCCATTCTGCTAGTCTGTTTCTTTTGATTGGTGCATTGAGACCATTTACATTAATGGTTATTACTGTTAAATGTTGTTTAATTGTAGGATTCTTATCTCTCTGCTGTTGCATCTTTATCTTTCTGTTCTGTTTAATTATTTGCTTTGCTTAGTGGTTTTTTCCTTTGTGTATCTAAACTGTCTTTCAATATTTTTTGCAGGGTTGGTTTGGTGTTCATGAAGTTCTTCAGCTGTTCTTTGTCATGGAAGTTTCGTATTTCACCATCTATTTTAAATGATAGTGTTGCAGGATATATCAGTCTAGGTTGGAAATCATTTTGCTTTAGGATCTGGAATACTTCACTCCATGCTCTTCTTGACTTTATTGTTTGTGCTGAGAAGTCTGCTGTGATTCTGATAGGTTTTCCTTTATAAGTGATCTGTCTTTTCTCTCTGACAGCTTTTAATAATCTATTCTTGTGTTGGATTTCTGGGATGGTGATTATTATATGTCTGGGTGTAGTTTTATTTTGGTTATGACTATTTGGAGTTCTATATGCTTCACTGATCCTGATGTCAGTTTCTGATCTCATGCTTGGGAAGTTTTCAGCTATTGCTTCTCTAAATATCCTCTTGATATCCTTTATGTTGTCTCCTTCTTTTTCATTAATCCCTATCATTCTTATGTTATTCTTCTTTGCATCATCTTGCAGTTGTTGAATTGTTATTTCCTGATTCCTTGTTATTTTTAAAAGATCTTTCCTTTCCTGTTCACTTGCTGCAATCCTGTCTTCAAGGTCTGAAATTCTGTCTTCACTTTCATTAAGGCGGTTTTTACAACTTTCAGTGGAGTTTTTTATTTCCTGTATATCTCTGTGCATCTGCATTATGTATTCTGTTTGTTTCTTATATTGCTCGTCTAGGGATTCTATCTTTTTGTTTAATTCCTCCAATTTTTTATCTGTGTTTTCTTTAGATATATTTAGAATCTCTTTCATTTCTTTTATCATTTCTTCTTTTATCTGAGAAATTATTTCGAGTTTGAATTTCTTTAAAGCTTCCTGGAGTTGCTTGTCAACTTCAGTAGCTATTGTGTCTAATATATGAGGAGGATGGGATATATTTTCTTCTAAATACACTTCTCCTAGGGTTTCCTGAGTTGGGCTGGAGGTTTGAGGTTGTAATTTGGTCTTTCGTTTTGTCATTTTCCTATATTTCTGTGTTTCAAGTGTTATTTGAAAGCCTCCTCAGGATCTGTTGAAAATCCCCTTCTATGTTTGCAGCTACTGAGACTCTGGCACCCCTCTACCCCAGGCCATTGGGCCTGCAGAACCAATGGCCCTTCTCTGCTTGATCAGAACTCCGCGGTTCCAGACAAGCTGGGCCTCAGGGACACTGTGCACCCACCTGCCCCTTGGTAGATCCACAGCTCTTGGATCGCAGCCGGGTTAGGGTACTCACCACAGACCGCAGTGCCTCAGGAGCCTGTGATCCCTCCCTGCTGGCAGAGATATCCACAAACCTCCAGACAAAGGAAGGGCCTCCTGCGGGCACTCCGGATCTACCCCGCTCCTCCTCTGCACGCAGATGGCTATGCGCGGCTGGGCTCAGGCCGAGGTGCCTCAGGAACCCGGGACCCCTCCTCCTCCAGACAAAGGAAGGGGCCTCTGCAGGCGGCTCCGGGTCCGCGCAGCTCCTCCTCCGCACACCGACGGCCAGGCGCTGCTGGGTACGGGCCGAGGTGCCCCAGGAACCCGGGACCCCTCCTCCTCCAGACAAAGGACGGGGCCTCTGCAGGCGGCTCCGGGTCCGCGCAGCTCCTCCTCCGCTCACCGAAGGCCAGGCGCGGCTGGGTACGGGCCGAGGTGCCCCAGGAACCCGGGACCCCTCCTCCTCCAGACAAAGGACGGGGGCCTCTGCAGGCGGCTCCGGGTCCGCGCAGCTCCTCCTCCGCTCACCCTTGAAGGATAGTTTTGCGGGGTACATCAGTCTAGGTTGGAAATCATTTTCCTTTAGGGTCTGAAATACTTCACTCCATGCTCTTCTTGCCTTTATTGTTTGTGTTGAGAAATCTGCTGTGATTCTGATAGGTTTTCCTGTATAGGTAATCTGTCTTTTCTCTCTGACAGCTTTTAATATTCTATTCTTTTGTTCGATTTCTGCAATGGTGATTATTATATGTCTGGGTGTAGTTTTATTTTGGTTATGGCTATTTGGAGTTCTATATGTCTCATTGATCCTGATATCAGTTTCAAATTTCATGTTTGGGAAGTTTTCAGCAGTTACTTCTCTAAATATCCTCTTGACATCCTTTGTATTGTCTCCTTCTTCTTCATTTATCCCTATCAACCTTATGTTGTTTTTCTTTGCGTCATCTTGCAGGTGTTGAATTGTTATTTCTTGATTTCTTGTTATTTTTAAAAGATCTTTCCTTTCCTGTTCACTGGCTGCAATCTTGTCTTCGAGGTCCGAAATTCTATCTTCGCATTCATTGAGGCGGTTTTTACAACTTTCAATGGAGTTTTTGATTTCCTGTATATCTCTTTGCATCTGTTTTATATATTGTTTGTTCCTTATATTGTTCATCCAGAGATTCTATCTTTTTGTTTAGTTCCTCCAATTTTTTAGCTGGGTCTTCTTTAGATATGCTCAGCATCTCCTTCATTTCTTTTATTATTTCTTCTTTTATCTGATAGATTATTTCTAGTCTGAATTCCTTTAAAGCTTCCCGGAGCTGCTTCTTTATTTCAGTTACTACTGTTTCAGGTATTTCAGGTATATGATATGTATTTTCTTCTATGTACATGGCTCCTAGGCTTTCTTGGAATGGGTTGGATGTTTGAGATTGCATTTTGGTCTTTCGTTTTGTCATTTTCCTATATCACTGTGTTTCAAGTATTGTTCCAGATTTTCCCCTGGTCGAGTTGTAAATCGACTCTTATGTCCTGGGCTCTTGGGACTCCTCTTGTAGTAGCTCCCTCCTTGGGCAGCAGAGCCCCTGGATTAAAAGAGGCTTGCCAGGCTCTTCTCAGGTAGACCTAAAGCCTCCTCAATTTGCAGTTTCCCCTTCCGGTAGCAAAGCTCCCCTGAGGGATAGAAGGCCACCTGGTGTGGTCCAGGCAATCCCAAATCCTGTTAAGCCCAGTATAGTGTGGCTGTAAGCCCAGTGGGCCCCCAACCCCCTAGAGCAAGGATCTCATAATCTCCCAGGGATTGGATGTTTCGTAATAATCCAGCTCCTTGGATGGCAAAACTCCCCAGGCTTATAGAAGTTCCCTTATGGCCTAAGTAGGCCTCAAACCTCCTCAGCAGGACTGCTCCTTCCTCCAAGCAGTGGCAGTAGTGCTGGTGCTCTCCAGATCAAAAGAAGGTCACAGGCGAGGTCAGAGCAGGTTTCAGCAGCTCGGCCCAGCTCCCTCCTTCCAGCCAGCAGCTGTGGTGTGCTCCTTGGCTAGATGAGGCAGCGGGCGGACCTGAGTCCCCTCCACTCAGCTGGGCCCTCACCTTCCAGCCGGCAGCAGTGGTAGTGTGGTCCCCGGGCGGGAGAGGCAGCAGGCAGGGCCGCACTGGAGTCCCCTCCGCTCAGCTGGGCCCCCAAAGAAACTGTTTCATAAGCCAGACTTTCTAGTTGTGTGACTCCGTTTGTAGCTATTTTTTCTTATATATTAACTGTGAGGAAATCAGTAGAAAATTGTTCACCAACAGAATTGACCAGGAGATGAGAAGGTAAATTTCAAGGCAAATCCAATCTATATATAGAATCTGAGCATGACAAGGTTGTCATTGCCCATTATGAGGGAGTCCTATGATATGGACAGACTTGCTAGGACATGAGAAGAAATAATAAAACCAAAAGAAAACTTAATTTTTTATCATGTGGGAAGCCTAATTTTCTTCATGTGGGAAGGTAAGGCAGTTCTTGAACATGATGGTTGTGGCCAAGATTTTGATCAAACATCTTGCAAATAGGACCTTCCAAGCAAAGAGAGTGGAAAGAGCAAAATCCAAAACAGTGAAGCTCATGGACACTTACAGTAAGATGATTTGACTAGAGGTATAGCTCAGTGGTAGAGTAGTTGCCAAGTATGCATGATGCCTTGGGTTGAAGCCACAGCACCAAAAAAAGAAAAACAAATAGCAAAGAGATAAAGAATAGCAGAAAAGGAAGTCAAAAAGGAGTATCTCCAGAGACATGCAGATACGAAAGTAGTAGAGAAGCTACTAGTAGAGTAGTAGTAGAGCTTCTCTACTACTTTCGTATCTCCATGTCTAAAAGGAGGGCCTCGTTGATACTGATTTCTTGTGTGATGGTGAGAGCAATCAAGAACCATGGTTTCTGCAGGCCTAATGCCCAGGCTGACTGAAAGGGTGATTTAGCAAAAGCCCTATTGTGGACACAGGCTTGGGAAACCAAGTAACTGTTAACTCTGGCCAAGGATGTAAAACCTGAACAGTAAGATGAAGATATACAGCAGCATAGAATAATTGGGAAACTGAGCAGCCCTGGAGTTTGAAGCCCACCAAAATTTGATTCAAGATTCTGGTCACCATAAATGGTAGATGCTAGAGACTCCCTTCCCTTGGTCCATGTAGCAGTCTAAGTGATCCACACACTTACTATGCAACAGCCTGAGAAAAATAGGTTGATGGTCCCCACTGCTAGGCAGGAAATTGAGGCTGTGTAGACTGAGTGGAGGTAAGTGCTGAGTGATTCTGGTAGTTCTAGTGACTGTAAGAGTGATCGTTAGAGATTTAACACTTTCCGTAAAGGCTGAAGCATTAGGTTTAAATCAGATTGTGGGGATGTGTTCTCTTGCTTAGGTTGAATTTATCAAAGAAATTCGTCCTGAGAGTGGAGGGGTCACAGCTGAATTCTTCCACTGTATATTTGAAGAGATGACCCACCCAGAATACGGGATGTTTATATACCCTGAAGAGGGCTCCTGCATGTGGTTTCCTGTCAGTGTAAGTCTTTCATCTTTTTTCTGAACAGAAGATATATTCCACATACTACAATGTGAAAACCATGGAAAAATTGCCAGATGACATCATAACCTTGGGACCTGTATTTTGTTTGGTTGGTTAGTTGTTTTTTTGTTGTTGTTGTTGTTTTGTTTTTTTGTTTTTTGGTACTAGGAATCAAACCTGGGACCTTGGGCTTGCCAGGCAGGCACTTATGCCTGCTGAGCTATAACCCTGGACCTGAACCTTTGTTTTGAGTAGCACTTGTTTGGTCCACAGAGTAGCACCTAGAACATTGGCTTGGAGCAGTTAACAAAAACAAAATCTCTGGCCCTACCCACGAGCTACAGAACGAAAATGTGTATTTTGTAAGATCCCCAAGTGATTCAAACACATTGTTAAATTTTAAATAGTATTAATAAATTAGAATTTAAACAGAACAAACTACACATAGTTTCCAGTTGGTAAGTTTACATATATACATTCATATACAATCAAAATTGTGAACATATCTATAATTCCCCCAAAATTTCACTTCTTTCTAATTCATCCTTCCTGTTCCTCTCTGCCAAAGGCTGTGCAACCACTGGTCTGCTTTTTGACACAACAGAATAGTGTCACATTTATATAAATAGAATCATAATCCAGTCTTCAGTATTTGCCCTTATCATTCAGCATAACGATGCAGAAATTCTCCCATGTTGTGGCATGTATTCATGGTTCAACCTCTTTGTTGTGAAAAAGTATTCCAGTATATGGTTTACTAGTTTCTTTATATCATCTCTCATGGATGAGTATTTGGATGTGTCCTAAGTTAAAACCCAATAATCTCAAGTGTGTCAAGTTACTAGAAAAACTATTGATAGAATACTAGAGATAATTATTAATTCTGAAAAGGTGATTGACTTATGTAGTGATTATATTTTTAAAAAGATCCTTGAAGTAAAATGTATTTTCATTTTTAAAGTAATAAAAAAAATCAACTTTGTTCCATGTTACTAACACAGACCAAATTGTTCTGAAAGAAATCAAATGTAGAGCTTCTATTTATTGGTCATCTTTCTCATAAACTTTCAAATTGTTCTTCCAAATGACATGATGAATGTTTGGAATCCAGAAAGGAGAGAAAATAAAGAGGAAGATAAAAGATGAATGTCTGTGAATACATATTACCAGAGTCTTGTGCCACTTTGAGAATGAGTGAACCTCTAAAAGTTAGGAATGAGTAAGATATTCCAGTGGTAGAACACTTTGTGTCAGTTAATCAGCAGGCATTTATTTATTTGTTTGGTTGGTTTTTGTTTTGGTTTTGGTACTGGGGATTGAACTCATGACCTCGTGCTTGCCAGGCCGTTACTTATGCCATTGAGCTAAACCCTCAGCCCCTATTTATTTATTTACTGTTTCTTGATGTTTCTGTGTTTCATTAAGTATTGCAGGAGATTGAAATTATTATATAATCCAATATCTTTTCTCCTGACACTTTTTTATGTACATAAATGAAGTGCTATGATTGAAATTCCAGATTGCTAACTTGGTGTGTAATAGCTATTAAGAAACACAATTTAGTAGGGAAGGATGGACTGATGTGGGTAAGAGCCCAGAGCTCTAGTCCCAAGTAATGGTGCCTGTGTCATGGTGGAATTTTCAGCTTCTCAATAAATTATGGGTAACATAATTTCTGTTCTGCCTGCCTTATAAGACTGTTGCAAGAATAAGATAAGGTTTTTAAAAGTATGAAAGCACCATTACAATTTTAGGGCAAAAGTAAATTCAAGGTATTATTTGTTAGCAAAGAGAAAAAAATCAAGAAAAAAGGGAAGTTATTAGAGAAAGTGTCATGGAGCAGTACAGACCTGGAGTTGATAAAGACAGGGACAAAATGGACTGAAGAGATGCAGGTAAGGGATGGAGAGAAAGAAAATAAACTGTCAACCCTGGGAGGTGCCTGGTTTATCTTCATCTCACAGAGGAAGAAACTGAGGCTCAGAGAGATTAAATAATTTGCCCAAGACATGCAACTAGCAAGAATAAAATAAAGTATGAAAGCACCATGCCACAGCATGAATTCAGGGCTGTGTGCCAGCAGGGTCCTTACACTTAAGCATTATTCCATACTGCTGGTGAGAAAACACAGAAGCCAAAATCAGTCTTATGTTTAAATTCATATATGGATCAAAGAAATTATGAAATAAAGTAGAAATGGAGCATACTCCAAAGTAAGGAAAGATACCTGATTAGGATAGGAGAGATCACCTTCGGACATTGCTTGTACTTTTAGCTTATATTCAAAATTTAAATCTATTTTTATCATTTATCCTCACATTGACTATGAAAAGTCAATAGAGCAAGTAGATTCAGTTGGTAGAATACATGAGTTATTCAAGCTCAGTACCTTCCAAGAACAAGGCCAACAATAAAATAGAAGCCTTAGAATTTTTAGACTAGTGGCCTTTCCCCTGTTGGGCTGCAGTTATAACCTAAATAGAGGGAGCCATGCTTTGCAGCAGAACAAACTGCATTAGTGTGTTGTTGTGGTTGTTGTTGTTGTTGTTGTTGTTACTGAATGAATAACCCAATGCTGGGTGCTTTAGAAAGAGGAAAGGTTTATTCAGCTTCCACATTTGGAGGCTTGAGGGCATGGTGTTATAGGCACCAGCTCAGCTCCAGTGAAAATCTGGTGGTAGATGGCCTCGTGGGAAAAGCTCCTGCAGACAGGCTTATTTTGTTTCTAATCTGTAATTTTAGAAAACACAACTTAAATTTTTCTTTAGTGAACTAAATATCTCTTTTATAATTGATTATTTCTTTGCCTTTTTCTTCAGCCAAAATATGAAAAAAAGAGTTACTTCCTCTTCGGTATGCTCTGTGGGCTCTCCCTATTCAATTTCAATATTGCCAAAATTCCTTTCCCACTGGCTCTGTATAAGAAACTTCTGGACCAAAAGCCATCTTTGGAAGATTTAAAAGAACTCAGTCTTTTTTGGGAGAAGTAAGTTAATACATTTGCTTTTGAAAGCTATATTTGGTAAGACTTGTTTAGCCAGAAATAATGTTGCACAAATGAGGTCTTCAGTTTCAATGTTGTATGCCCTTTAAATGAATATGAATTTTAGCATGACTTACAATTCTGTAAGCCTTCAAAAATGAAGAACAGTCCATGTTCCTCTTAACAATTACCTAGTATCATAAACAGATGTCTGGCCTGGTCTCTTGATTTTTAACTCGGTTGATATAGTTACTTTGGAGAGTATGCATCATGTACCTGAATTATAGCACATCTACTATAAATATATGATTTATAGAAACATGTAATATTCATATGGCTAATTAAAAATATACATAATTAACTTGACTTGTAATTGAGGGAATGAAAATGAAATGTCCTTTTTGGTCTTAGAGTTTTGGGAACAAGTTGTGGGAAAGGATTCTTTTCTTATGTCCTGTAGGAGAGAATAAGTTGGCTACGTTTACACCAGAGCGGGGTTTCTGTACCTTAGCAATACTGACATTTTGGGAGTGTGTGTGTGTGTCTGTGTGTGTATTGTCTGTGTGATGCTGGGGAACTACCCATAGCCTCATGCATGAAAAGCAAGCACTGAGGTACTCCCACAGACCCTTGGGCATTTGTGTGCCAGTCTGTCCTTGGCACTGTGCCATGTTTAGCAACATTTACAGCCAACTCTCTAGATTCTAGTAGCAATCCTCCCTTCATTGTGCTAACCAAAGTTTCCTCCAGATTCTGGCAAATGTCCCCTCAAGAAGACAGAAGACAGGCTCTTCCCTGGTTGAGAATCCATGCCCTAGAGATGGTGCTCCTTTGTGTTCTTTTCATAATACATAACAGTGTCTATGGAGCAGCAGTGTTTCTAACAAATCAAACCATAAATAGAGGTTGCTCTAGGAAGAGGAGTCAGAGTTGGAGAGCAGAAATTTTTATCACATTTGATATATGTGTTGTTCAAAGTTGTTTCCACTGAACACCGATTACATCTGAAATTTATGAGATCAACAAATATGAATTTTAAATCCAATTTTTCACTAGGAGTTTGCAAGAAGTTCTAAGTGATGAAGGTAGTGACTTTGAAGAACTTGACATGTATTTTTCTGTAAGTATTAATAAGTGGCAGGTTATAGTTTATTTTTAATCTATTTTTTATTTTTATGAGACTGGGCACCAAACCAGATTCTAGATCATGCTAGAATGGTATTCTATCATTGAGACATAGCTCAGCTCTAAAATTTTTTTTAAAATAATTTTAAATGCCAGGTGTGATGGTACATGCCTATAATCTCAGCACTCAGGAGGCTGAGACAGGAGGATCACTGTGAGTTCAAGGGCAGCTTGGACTACATAGTGAACTTAAGGCTAGCCCAAACTATACAGTAAGACTCTGTCTCTAAATAAATAAATAAATTATAAAATAATTTCAATTATAGTGTCTTATATGTGAAATCATACTTTGTAAAAAAGGTTTTACTTTTATACTGTAAAATCTTTCTTACTACTTTTTCATTTGATACCTGAATGTATTGATTTACAAATAAGGATACAGCAATTATTCAATCAACCTAAGTATTATAAACAACAAAATAGAATAATTTATGCATGAAATTGACATATGGCATGTATTAGAAAGATCTTAAATTTTTTTATAAATATTTAAAAGTCTGAACTAAAAATATTGTTTGCAGTTTTTAAACTATAGGCAAAAAATACCAGCAATAATGATATTATTAATGGTGGATTATTTAGACTTACTTTCAGGTTTGGTAAGTGAATAATTTTGGTTACAGATACACTGGAATCAAAATGATGTTGATTTAATTCCAAATGGGACCTCTGTACCTGTGAACAAAGCCAACAAGTAAGTTTTAAGAATAATTGCTTTGCATATACACAGAATGTTTTTATTGTTATACCTTTAAAATGTATTTTAACCCTAGTTGGTGGCCCATGCCCCTAATCCCAGCACTACAGAGGCGAAAGCAAAAAGGACTGCAAGTTTCTGACCCACCTGAGCTACATACGGCAAGTTCAAGATTGGCCTGGACCGCATAGTAACACCCCGACTCAGAACAATCAAACAAACAAAATGAATGTATTTTAGCTTCTTGTATGATTATTTTAGATCAACTTTTGGAAAGACTAAAAAGTTATAGTATAAGAAAGGAAGGATTCAAGATTAAGTATTTCCATCATCTAACAAATATTTTTGAGCTTCCATTCTGTAGCAGACAATATTTTAGGTACTAGTGATACAACAGGAAAAATGACTAAATCTGGAAATCAAATTCTCATGTGGCATGAGAACATTGTACAAATTATTGTGCACTATAACATCAGGTAAGAATAGTTACTCTAAAGAAAATGAAAACCAAGTAAGGGACAAAGAGACCACGGGTAATGATTTGCTGGGGAGCTGATTGTTAAATTCTCAGAATTGTTCACAATCTATTACTAAAGTGTGTTGGTTTGAAATCAGTATGATGGGAATTTATACTGCAGAAATTAGCATCACATCTGCCTGTATGAGTTTCTGTTTCTCTTTCCCTATCAACCCTTTGCCCTTTTCTTCTTGCTCCTTCCCCTCATCTTCCCAGTGTTGATAAAAATACAGTAGGTCATAAAGGCTGCTTAAAGGTAGACCAAAAGCCTCTAGCAAAAATTTGACTCTGCTACTCCATTTTTCCTTACTATCATGGAATACCTAGCCCCAGGGGCTTTATAAAGAAAAGCAGTTTCTCTAGCTCATAGCTGTAGAGGTTCCACGACCTACATTTGATGATGGATTTCTTGCTAGCAGAGTCTCAGTACTATGTAGGACATTGATTGTCACAGTGTGCCACTGTAGTGGCACAGAGGATGAAAAATTACTCAGAATAGAGTTCAGCTTGAATTCCAGTGGGCCCAGAGGGACTGCCTCACCAAGACTCATCTGCATGAGAAAGTCTCGAGAAAACAGGCCCAATATGAGAACCCACTGTTCTTTTATTTGTAACCCAATGGCTTTAGAAGAAAGACACAGAAGAAGAACATTTGTGTGGGAGTTTTGGTCAGAAGAAAGGGAAAGAACAGGATGATCTGTGAAACAAGCTTATCTGGGAAAAAGGACCACAATGCTGGAGCAAGCATCTCTCAGAGTAACTTTGCTTCTCACCCTACAGCTCTGCTCTAATCTTGAACCATGCATTCCAGAAACCCTATACTGATGCCCAGGGGTCCCTTCATCTTTGCACTCATTTCAACCACTTCTCTATCCAGAGTCTCCCCAAAAGGCATCATATGAGAAGAGATAAGGAGCATACATGGGTCTCTCTTGGTGTCTCTGCCTCATCCTACAACACCATCAGCATTCTATCATACGGGCTCTGCTGTAATACCTTACATAAGCCCACTTGCTTGTCAGAAGCCTCACGTATAATTACCAGAATCATATTAAATTTCAGTTTTTTTAGTGCCTCCAAATGAGAACAAAATTCCTACCTACAAAACAATAAGGGACACACAAAAACCTTTTTTTAAAAATTTTATTTAAGGAGAAAAAGAAAAATAAAACACAAAAGGGTACAAGTAATACAGAATTTCAAAAAAAATAGTAGGAAATCACTAGTTAATAGATTACATATTGTCATCTTGGAAATAGTTATTCAAGTTACAAAATTAAAGCATATAAAGTGGACATTCAAACAGTGAGATTGCAAACAGTTCTGTTCAATGATCCAACAAAAACTCAGTAATATGGTTATCTTATACACTTAAATACACATGCATTTATATCCTTTAGAACACTTTCTTTTCCTCTGTTTTTTACAAGGACAATTACACATTTTGGGTCTTATTACTCCCACAGTTCTTATTACTTTTTTTTAAGAGAATAAAACCAAATGTGACATAACAAAACAGAGTCAGTCAAATCAAAAGGATGGACATAGTACATGATGTAAAAACAGAGTACAAGTTGATCAATAATAGTTACCATAATGCCTCTTGCTATCTTAAAAAGAATTGCCTAAATCATCAGTTATGATAAAATTGAACAAAACAGTAAAGAACAAAACCAATAAAACCAAAACACTGCAGGCATTACAGGACTTCAAAAGAAGATAATAGTCAAGCCAGAATGGACATCATAGTGAATCTTATTGTCTTCACAGTTGTTGCCTACTCTCTCAAACTTGATACAATCAAGCAAAACAGAATAGAGTAAAATCAGTCAAAAGAAGATGGTGAGAGCAATAGGGGTTTCAAATCAAGTTAATAGGAAATCAAAGTGGGTTACTATAATATATCCTGCTATTTTTTATTTATTTTTCCATTAATTAAAAAGATAAAAATAATAATAAAAGGAGATTGAGATAAAAGAGGACATAACAACAAAACAGCACAGGTGAGAACATAACAATTTAAGCAACATAGTGTTTCACCACAAGATATCCCGACATAAAAGTAGTTACCATAGGGGACACACAAAACCTTAGCCAAACCATTCCACTTGCCATCAGGAAATGCATCTTGTAGGAGGTTGTATCCTGTGGTACAAGTCAAACCTTCCAGAAGTAATTTCCATGAAGTCACATGTCCTGGGAGGACAGAAACAAGGACTAAGCCTATCTTCTTGTTACTGAAATCTTGTGACTGATAGGAGTGGCCAGGTGGAGAAAAAACTTGGTCTGCCAGAGAGGAAAGTTACAGGTGGAACTTTCTACAAATGAGAAAGATCAAGGCCAAAGAGAAAAATGGGAAGAAGAAGAAGCGGCTGAAACTTACAGGGTCAGGTCATGAAGGGGTTTTGATCCTTGCCAGGCAGGTAAAAAATCTGCCCCAGGGCAGTGTGAAGCCTTTGAAAGATCTTACGCAAAATAGTGACTAAAAATGGTTTGAAAGCCACTTACATTCCACAGGAACTGTACTCCCTATTTTCAGTGTTCATCTTCCCTGGGTGAGGGACACAGGGGCAGTGCTGTCCTGTGACCAAGTTGCAGCTGCCTGTGAGCCACAGGCTCAGGATGGGAAATGCCCAGTGCTCTAAGGGAGTTGTGTTGCTGAGCTGGGGTGTACAGCACATTAGATGCACTAAGTGAACATTTGCCCCATGATACATTCAGCTCCTGACACGTACTGGGACACACCCCAAGTGTCAGTGGAGGAGCATGTGTATTCAGGTTAGAGTTTATAAAATCTCCTGGTTCCAGTGAGGAAAATGAGGGAAAAATAAAGGGTTGGTCTTTCTCCCTATGTTCTGTACATTTCCTCTTCTAGCTGAGCAGGTTTAATATCCCTGTACCAGTTTATCTGTCATGAAGCAATTTACTTTTCTTTCTCAATAGAAATAGTAAAAACGGCAAAGTGGAGACTGTTTCCATCACTGGTTATTTTTTTTTCATTTGCTCTAGAAAAGACTATGTGGCTAAGTGTGTGGACTACATTTTCAACACCTCCATAAAGGCAGTTTATGAAGAATTTTGTAGAGGGTTTTATAAAGTATGTGACAGGAAAGCAATCAGATGCTTCTACCCTGAAGAACTAATGACAGCAGTAATTGGAAGTACAAATTATGACTGGGAAGACTTCGAAAAGGTAAATGGTTCATAAATCGCTCCAGTCTTTCCAGCAACTTACGTATATGATCCTCCCCTGCGAAAAAATTCAAATTTTCTTTCTTTCTCTTAAGAATTCACAGTATGAAGAAGGATACCACATATCGCATCCTACTATACAGATGTTTTGGAAGGCTTTCCACAAGTTCACTTTGGATGAAAAGAAAAAATTCCTCTGTAAGTATGCAGTGCATTCCTTATCTTACATGAAGGTAAACAGCTGTGAGTGACAGTCATTCTTAATAGGAGCTCTCATGTGTAATGACGGAGCAAGGAACACCCAGGTTCCTCACCTCTGGACCACCATCCTTTCCCTTCCACAGCCGCCTTCCCTTGTGATAAAGTCAGCTTCACCCCCTTTCTGCACTGACTAACCCTCGGCCCGGTTTTTGGATTGTGTCTTCTTTTCCGTATTCCATTGTTCCAAATTAAACTTTTTGGGCCAGGCTATTATTTTAATTTAGTTATCGGAGTCTTCTGAGCCTTCATAATAACACGCTGTTTTACGTAAAGTAATACAGTGGCAGATGGGAAGGAGCAGGGCAGCAGCAGCGTTTGTTGTGTCTTACTGTGTGGCTGGCAGCACTGCGGACCATGCTGTGTTGTCACCTCCCCTGACCCCCACCAGCAATCCGTGGGGGGAGTGCTACCCCTCCTTCCACTGTAAGCATAAGGAAACTCAGGGTTGGAGCACGGAGTGCCTTGCCCGTCTTCAGACACCAGGTAAGTGTGAGGGCCAGAATCAGAACCCCCGGGGTGGGGCCAAGCCTCGCTCTTAGGGTTCCTTGGTGGGAACAGGGCAGTTTTCCTGGACGGAATTAACTGTCTAACCCTTTCCTTACTCCATTTTCAGCTTTTTCCTCACTATTGGAGATCGAATGCACTTATCAGTCTGCCTTTGCCCACAAGCTCACTCTGACTCTGACTCTTCTCTCTTTTTCTCTCTCATCTCTTGATAGGGTTTTTGTTAAAGTGGCCACACTGAAACTGTAAGCATCCAGCCTCCGGATCTTTGTGCCTCAGTCTCCCCAGTGCTGAGATCACCATGCCTAGCTCAGCTTTTCTTTAAATACGTATCTACTTTAGTTGTCACTGAGTATCCTGGAAGACAATTTAAACTCCTTGTACAATTTTTCAATTAAAAAAAAAAACTGCTTCTATTAATCTTCTCTACTAAAAAGAGTTATCTTTTGCTTTAACTGTCTGTATCTTCAAAGGGTTCACTTAAATCCTCCCACCTGTGGTTTCTCCCCCTGACTTATGCCAACCTAGAGTAAAACCAGGCAAGGCAAAGAAAAACAAAATTAAGATTATTTGTGATTAATTCCGATGACAGTCTGGGAGAACACAAGATACAAGCAATCTTTAAAATGTGCTCACGTTTTATACATCCATGGCTGTATTTAAAACTTTAAAGTGTGAGTGGCTTGGAAATTATGTTAGGAGTTAAGGATGGTGCTGGAAAAAGTTAAGTGGTTTTGTAAGAAAGTGAACAGAACCAGCCCCAGCCTCTGGGTAGTTTGGTGGTAAGACCACTCTCCATAGAGGTCAGCAGAGGTTAACAGTGGTTCAGAGGTCAGCTCCAGGGATGGTATATCTGCAGTCCAGTTCAAAGGGTCAGCTGTGGACTGTCGTGGACCTGAGTGTCAGTGGCCTCTGGATTCCAGCGTAAGTGCCCTCAATCAGTGCTGCTCCATGTTGGTTTTTCCTTTCCCTTAAAACCCACCCAACTCCTGTTGTACAGTATGAGCCAGGGGCGGGGGACTCTGAGTCTCCCTGACCACCCCAGGATGCCCCCTTACACCACACTCAATCTTAGTCCTCCAGGAAGCTCTCAACCTCCTGTCTCTTAGTTGAACAAATTTAAATTTCTCTTTTCATGGATGTGAGCTACCTCAAATGGACCAGATTCATGGAGGACAAAAATGACATGTCATGATTTTTCTAGGCTATCTGTGCCCCTGCATATTCCCTTTGCACAAAGGTGCTCATCAATCATGTATTAAATGAATGCTATTATTACTCTAAGTTTTTTTCTTTCTCTGATGTATGTTAACTAAATTGTATTCTTTTCCAGTGTTTCTTACAGGGCGTGATAGATTGCATATAAGAGGCATCCAGAATCGAGGGATAATATTCTGCTGTCCTGCAGATTTCAGTGAAAAAGATTACCCAAGATCACTGACGTGCCACAGTATTCTATATCTACCTGCATATTCTACAATGGAAAGGATGGAGGAAGCCCTTCACACAGCCATCAATAGCCACAGGGGCTTTGTGTCACCCGGGATCCTACTGCCATGATCACTTTCATGGTCTCAGGGAGGCCTCAGTGGCGCAGTCTCTCAGCCTTGGATTCTTCTGTTTCTGCTTACATCTAATCCGTACAAGAGGTTGACAGCTGTTCGTAAGGATTGGATGGAAAATTCAGAGATAATAAAGTTGACTCAAGAGTAATATTTATAGTGGCAAAAATTATACCGTTTTCTGTGTCCCTAACCTTATTAGAGTGCTTACTTTTACTGATTTCATTAATAAAATTCATTTAAAATATACTGAGTATTAAAAAGTTCACATATTTAAAAAGTTTTATTGTAACCTTGATAAGTTGTCTGCCATTTTAAAAGATATGTTTGAAAAAATAAAAATAGAAACTCATTTCAACATATTTTTGAGGCACGTGCATGTATACTGAGGAATGTCTCTAGAGGTTTGCTTTTAGTAAGTGTCTGAGTGATATGTTTGAACAATCTGAATTTCAAAGGACCCATCAATTCACTAATTAATTACAGTCAATATTGTGGTGCTAAGAACCATTCTCAATGTAGATGTCTTTATTTTGGTTAAGCTCTGAGATCAACCAGCAATGCCTGTGTACATGTAGTTAAATGTGATACTGAAATATGTCTTATTATCATGAATATAAAGTAAATTAATGGAGAGATGTAGCTAGGAATTGCCAATGAATTTTGTGGATCAGGTGTATGATATTAACTCCTCTCCCTCTCTTTTTCTGCCTTTTCTTTCTTCCTTTTTTCTGAGACAGGATCTTATCAAATACTGCAAGCTAACTTTCAAGTCACTGTGCAGCACTGATAACCTCAAACTCAGGATCCTCATGCTTCAGCTGCCTGAATGCTGTGATTATGATCATGTACTATTACGCCTACATCTAAATTAAATTTTAAAGTGTGTATCAGCTTTGGGATGACTCCTGCATTCACTTTTCTGTCACTGAGTCATAATTCCCAACATCCATAATTTAAAGGAGGAAAGATTGATTTGGCTATTACTTTCAGGGCATTCAGTCCATGGTTGACTGGCTCTGAGGTCAAAATATCATTATAGGAGGACATGGCAGAGAAAAAGTGCTCAGTTTATGGAGACCAGGAGGCAAAACAAAGGCACAGCACTAGAGAGAAAGGGGCTGGGAACCTTAAACAATACTCAACGTCACACTTCCATGACCCATGCAGACACACTCAGCAGTGTGCCTCACTAATCCACCTGGCACTCCCAAGCCAAGAAAGTTGGCAATTAATCTATTTTCATTAGTATATGTTTTTGATACATAATAATTACTTTATTTTGGGAAATTGGTTTATATACATATCGCAACTTGGACATTTTTACCCTCCTTTCTCCCACCCTCCCTTTCCTCTCCAGCACATTTTAATAGTCATATCCCAGTCCTTATCAACTTGATACCCAAGAACGTCTTGGTAAACCATACTTATGCCTCTTACAACACTGTTAATAATTCCACCTAACATGATATACAATACATGAAACACAACAGTCACTTCAGTACTACAATTTGAGCATTTTTCAGAAGTCCAAGCCCAGGCCTCTCCTGGGACTCAAGGCAAACTCTTAACTATGTACCTCTATAAAAATAAAAACTAAAAAATGAGTTACAGTGATACAATGGCACAGAGTAAAATTTCTCATTCCAAAAAGGAGAAATAGGAGAATAAAAAAGAATGAGACCAAAGAAAGACCAAAACTCACCACAGCATTGACACATTCACAACAGGACTCTTAATTCATATGTCTTAGTGTTACGTGGCTCTGATTTGAATTTGATCATACCCACTAGCTTGAATCACTGGTGGTATATGCATGACTGTCCCATGAAACAGCTTGCACTACTTTTGAAGGTCTTTAATATCAATGATAAAAAAGGATTCATTGAGCATTTGTCATATTATAATTCCCTGAAGAAAACATTAAATGGTATAAAAATTATATACAGCTAATTTGTGGTATAGCAGTTGTAAATGCATATTATTTACACCAGCAGCATGTTAAAATTCGGATAATTAATTATTGATAAACTATCACAATATAAATTTTAATGAAATTTGATTATTGCAATAAGCCATGAGATTTGTGAAATCAAAATTTGATCACTTGCTTATTGGAACCATATAAAACAAAGTGTAAGCTATTCTGTAAGTGTCTGTTTCTGTCCCACCCATTTCCAGAAGTCCCTTAGTGGTATTTTGGAAAATGAAAGAATGTGGGACCCAAGTCAGTGCTGGACTATTGATGTGACAAGAACTGAAATCACTTGAGGACAGAGACCTCACCAAGAACACAAGAATGTAATCTAGCTGGTAGAAATATAAACCCCCAATGAGTCCTCAGAGTTATTTTGGATCTGTCTGATTTCTACTTTTAAATGGAAAGAAAGCACAGATATATTTGATTATATTTTATTTTCTAATGGTACTAAAGATCAAACCAAGGGCCTCAAGCATCGTAGCGTCAGTCTCTACAACTTGAGCATTTTTCAGAAGTCCAAGACCAGGTCTGTCCAGGGACTTAAGGCATACCTTTAACGGTGAACCTCTGTTAAAAAAAAAAAAAGTTACAGTGGCAAAGATTCTTCCAGTGAACTACATTCCAAGTCCTCTACCTGAATTTCAAAGGGAAAGGTAATCTCTAAATTTTAGGGATCCACTAGCACCCAATTGTTGGTTGCCTTTTAGCACCATCAATGTTTTTTTCTAATGTAAATAGCTGAATTGTATTAAATGGCTATGGAAGAGATAAGACCAGTTCTTTACATATTTGTTCAAAAGCACAAAAAGAGAAAACTTACCAATTAGTTTTCAAACCCCAGTATTACCCCAATACAAAAACAAAGACAATACAGGCAAAGAGGACAATTACTTTTTTGTGAAAAGTGATACATAAATCCTTTACCAATTTTTAGCATAAGTACTTCCAACAAAATGTAGGAAAAAAATACCACATGGCCATTTGCAGTTTAGCCAGAAATACAGAAAAGACATTTGAGAATTCAACCCCACTCGTGCCTGATAAATGCGTGATAAGTACTCTTCGGAAACAAAGACTAAACCAAAACTTCACCAAACCTGAATATGCCTAACCTCATTCTTAATGGAGAAAGACTGACTGCCTTCCTACTAGCTTAGATACTTTTCTTATTGCTAAGAAGTACCCACCACTCAAGAGAAAAGGTTTATTTTAGCTCAAAATTTGTAGACTTCACAGTTGGCGGGCACTAAGCCAAGCCAGCATGGCAGAAGGATATGGCAAAGGAGTCCATGTCGGGGCAGACAGAAGGCAGAAAGCCACAGCAGGGAGCCTGCCTTTTCCTTTTATGACATCCAACCCTGACACATCTTTTGAGTGGTGCCACTCACACCCAGGGTGGGTCTTCTGTTTTCAGTAAATCCATTCAGCCACCCTCAGAACTATGCTAATTCCAACCAGTGGACTAATCAGTACAGCATATCCCCAATCCCAGTATCACACACACCCAAGATCCAGCCAGCTCCAAAAAGGCCCAGCTAAGAGTGCATGAGGCTTTAAGGAACATCTAAATACAAGCCATAATACCCAGCAATACTGTCAAAGAGCCAAAAGTGTTTTTCATCTCTTCTATGCAACCTAGTAGTGTTATGGGGTTTAGGAACACACTGGACAGAAGACACAGTACCAGAGGAACTTTAGAAGGCATACAGCTTTATTATGCTAATGGGCTGAAGGAAATCTCAGTTCTAAATCATCAGCCCCATCTTGAGGTTAGCAGACACTTACACAGGTTTTCAGTAGGAAGTACAAAAGACAAATAACAAGATGCTCTATAATTGTTTACATAGGCTGGGTTATATGTCATCAGACAGACTTCTACATAAGCCAGTTGGGGATACTGTCATATAATGAGGGGGTTAGGATTGTGGTGAACAAGAAGAATCTTTGTCTTTAACCAAGCCAGTTTGTCCTTGAGAATTTGCAAGCTAGTATAACAAGATGCACTGTCTGACTATGTTACACTTATTTTACAAGTTGCAGCTGGCATGGGGATGTCAAAGTTTAGCTGAGTTTTATAGTTCTTTAATTATGGAAACAGGCTTCACTTCCCAGTTCCATCCTTGAATAGTATTAAAAATGTTTTAAAATTTCCCTTATATTCAAAATTGCCTTTACAGTAGTACAAAAAGGAATACATGTAAGAGAACAAAGAAAAGACATAGATTAGAAAGGAAGGAGTAAAACTCTTGTACTCTATGCTATCATCTTTGTAGAAGACTCAAGGATCTTCAAAAAACTACTAAGTACTAAATAAATACAGAAAAGTCTCAGATTTTAAGATCAATATATAAAAATTAATTCTATGTTTACATATGCACCACAATCATAAACCGAAATTGGAAAAAGTACCATTTACCAACAGAAAAGCAGAAATAGGCCTGGACTGGGAAATACTGCTCAGTGGTAGAACATCAGGCTAGCATGCACAAAATTCTTCATTCAATACCCAGTAGGTTAAAAATAAAGTCTGATCATAATCATAAGTTAATACCTGAAAAATATCATTTGCAGTATCAAAAAATAACTACATAAGGAGTTTTAGTAAGAATATATGACTATACTCAACAGTATACAATGTTTGAAAGAAATTAAAGATGCTTTAGCTTAATGGATAATGACATTTGACGTTCACATGCTGAAGCTGCATATCAATTTTCTTTCACATCTGCTAGAATGTGAAGTTGCCTTCTGATACTTCTTTCCTAACATGCTAATGGGCTTTCCTAACATGCTAACAGTAGAGTAATCTCAATCAAAATCCCAGCAATCCATGTACAGGCACCAGTGAATTCCTCCTAAAGTATGGATGGGACAGCCAAAATGACTTTGGAATACAATGATATTGGAGCACTTATACGAACTGATTTTTGAGAATTATTTTGAATGTGCTGTAAACCGGACAAGGAGGTAATGGGATAAAGATAAAAATATAGTTTAATATACTATATGGAACAGAATTAAACACCTAGAAATCATTACAATCATGTATGTCCAATTGAATTTTTAGAAAGATGCCAATGACATTCAATGGAGATAGGCAAGACAAAACACCAGATCTCTGCATGGAAGAGAAAACATTTCTACCTTTTCCTCACAATGAAAGAATAATTCATTTGAACTATAATAATAACCTAATAATAATAATAACCTAAATTTATGAAACTTGTTGAAGATCTATGAGAAAATCTTGTAATCTTATGTTAGCAAACATTTCTTAAGTTGTAAAAAAGGCATGAACTATATAAAATTGGATAAACTACACTAAAATCTAAAAGTTGAACTCTTGCTCAAAAGATAACGCACACAAAATGAAAAGGCAAATTGCAGATTGGAAGAAAAATGTTTCAAAATGTGGGGAACAAGACCCCCCTCACCTTTGATTGTAAGCAGAGGACGGATGAGGCTGAAGACTGGGAGAGTAAAACAAAAGTGAGACTCTTATTTCATCATCTTGCAAGAGCAGATGCCAGCATAATAAGCCTGCAGGCACACCCAAGGCAGTTACAACAAGTCATTTAACCCCCAGGTGTGCAGGTCCCTTCCCAGTCCTCACCTTGACCCTCAGCCAGATCGCTCTCAAACATTTTGTGAGTTTAAAGGCAAATGATTAAGCTTCAGGTGGGTAACTTCTTAACCCAGTACTTTTTCAATCAGAGACAGCATAATAAAGCCATTCTTTATTGACTACCCCTCCCCCACTTTGTTTAGGGACCATTTGAGATGCCTGACCTCAGTTTCATCCACAGACAAGTAGGCAACTTTGTCTACTAATAGTTTTCCACTCAGACCAATTTGTTTCTCTTGCTTACAAAAATACATATCTAATAAACGACATAGTATAAAATCTTAAATAATAAGACAAAACCATGGAATTCACAGGTGGGCAAAAGATCTGAATAGCTACTGAACTAGATTAGGGCCTGAGCAAAGTCAATCAAGCCATCGAACTCAAGAGATTCAGGGCACATCCACAAAACAGACTCCAAGATGACTGCAGTTCCAGAAGGCTCTACATAGACCCAATCAAAAAGTGCTTTCTTCAATTCATTTCTCCATCTAGGAGAAAAGCAAGTGAGCCTTCCATAGGACAGCTTAAATCTAACACCAGGCCAAGTGAGTTTCTGATAGGACAATTGTCCCAAATGACTGATTTGCATGACAGACTCCCCTCCATTATTCTCATGGCCACTGTGAGCCTTTTTCGCCAGCCTACTCTCACTCTTCAGAGAATACTTCTCTACCTTCAGCAAATGTAAACCCTCACTACCTTTTCCGTGTGTCTTCAATTCTTTGGGACACCAAGAACCTGGAAAGAGTCTCTTTGGGACTGAAAAGCCTGCACCACTGCTTCACCAAAAAAGAAATAGTGACAGGAAATAAATATAGGAAAACAGCTCACTATCATAAGTCATTTTATTAAGAAAGTGCAAATTAAAGCCATTATACTTGGAGCTGGGGATTTAGAGCTCAGTGGCATAAGCACTTGCCTTGCAAGCACAGTTGTGAGTTCGATTCCCGGGACAGATTTTTAAAAACTGAAAAAAATAAAGTTGAAATAATTTTAAAAATTATTTCACTTGAAATAATTTTAAAAATTGACATCAACAACTATCAGCAAATGTGCTGAGTGACTGGAACTCATGTAAGTGGCTGGAGTGAATGTAGAATGGGACAGCACCTTTGAAGAGTCTGGCAGTATCTTACAGACACACACAAGTCAAGGAAATCTACTATTAGATATTTGCCCCAAATAAATGAAAACAGTTCTTACCTCAATGATTTGTGCTCAAATAAGTCACATTCTATTCATGCTAGCCAAAAGCAACAAAGGACTAACATGCCCATCATTTGGTGAATGAATAAATGGCCATATATATCCATCAATAACAAGATGAATACTTGACAACAGGGTATGTGTTTATTACAGCTTGTGTCTAGATGCACCACCCAAGGCTCATGCAGTCACAGATGGGGTTTTTTCAGAGGTGGCTGGGTCAAGACTGTGTGTCACTGGAACTGACTCAGGTTGCACTGCAAGGATCAAGGGCATTAGGATTAAGAGTGTAAGTGCTACCTGCCCTAAAATAACCTGGATAAGATATAAGAACAGAAAGAGCTGTTGTCGCCCCTTGTTGCTTTGCTACCTGCTGCCCTCCATTAACTGTTTCTTCTCCGCCATGCCACCCAGCTAAGTCAGCCATTATGGACTGAAACCTCTACAAACCGTGAGCAAAATAAACTTTTTTTCCATTAACTTGGTTGTCAAGTATTCTATCTCAGCAAAGAAAACAGTAACTGAAGCAATGCTCAAACACTGTGCTAAGGAAAGCAGTCCAGAAACCTTATGATTTCCTTTGTCATAAACTTTAGGAAAAAAACAAACAACAACAAAACTACATTGCCACAACACTGGTCGCTCTAAGGCGCAAGGTTCCTAGGGGGCTAGCTTGTTTTGTAGTTTCTTTGCTTGCCATGACTTGAGCCTAGAACTGAACCCAGCCCCTGCTGTCGCGGTACAATAGCCTGTAAAACTCTCTCCGGCCGGCAGGGGTCCCGAGACCTCGCGGACCCCAGGTGTCTCCCCGAAGGTGCTTTCGAGGACCGGATGGCACCGCCAGGCCTGGCCGAGTTTACCCCAGCCGCCTCGCGAGCTTCTGGAACCACTCCAGTTCCGCTTCAACTTTTGGTTTCGATTCAGTCCGTGCAGAAACCTTGCGTTTCGATTCCCGCGAGGCGGCCCCACCCCCAGCTGCACTCGGAGCCCGGGCCATCCATTCACACCATCCACTCAAACCCCGTGCGACGCCCGGGCCAGCGACACCGCGGTCCCCCCAACCCACAGCGCCGTCCGTCGCAAGCGACCGCGGGAGCCCGCAATTATGGAGCCCAGGCGGCCGCGGAAGGCGAGGGGCGCCTCCGCGCGCTCGACCCCCCGACCGCAGCCCCAGCCCCCGCCCCGAACCCGGGCTTCCGCGCAGCTCTGGCTCTTCCCCGACGCCCCGGGGCTGCAGGGTGCGCTGCTCAGGCGGGCGGAGGCCACGCGTCAGCTGTGCTGCTCGCGGGGGCGCCTGGCGGTGCTGCAGCGCGGCGGGACCGGTGTGGAGGTGCACCAGCTGCCCGCGCGGAGCGACGGCGCCGGGAAGCACAGTGAGTGAGGACGCCCGCGGGCCGGACACGTTCTGGGGTCCCGGGCCCACATTCAAGGGGCTTCGGGACGCAGGGGAGAGGGCCGCGCCCCCTCGGTCATCCGGGTATGCGCGGGGCCGACTCCGTCAGCGTAGAGCCTGGCGCGGGACTCGCGGGCGTCGGCGACCCTCACGTCTGCGGGGAAGGCGGGGAGCCTCACCCCGCCGGGACCCCTCGGCGCTCCGCCTAGGTTCTGACCGGAGTGGTTTTCCTCAGTCCCGCAGTCACCGGATCGCCCCCGCCCCGGCCAGCACCCGGGGCGCTCAAGTTCGAGACCATCCAGGCACTTTAGTGGAACCCTGACCCAAAATACAATTTCAAAGAGGTCCGGAGAATGATCTCACTGCACCAGAATAAAACAAAAAAACCTGCCTTGCATATGTGAGGTTTTAGAAAACTTGATTATCTGTCTCAGAGTTATCCTTACTTTGCTCTTCTCCCATTTCCACATCCTCCAAAATGTTAAGTACTGTGGTTCTGATTTTACAGGTGGGAAAGTAAATGCTCACTCTTAATCTTTGGGATTTTGCTCATGTTGGAAGAAAATGGTTTTTTTACTGTTGTGCATTTGAGCAGCTTTTCAGTTTCTGTTGATCACTTGCATTCCTTTTTTTTTGGCAAATTGGCCCTTCATATTTATGCCCGAGTTTTAAAAAGAGGGTTGAGTCTTTGATCACTTAATTTGAAAGAGAGATGTGAATATTGAATAAAAAATAACCTTTTGCCTATCAAACGTGTTTTTCTTGCCTTAACTGTTGTTCACTTATTGCTTTCTATGCAAAATGTAAAGTTTTTAATAGTCTCAATTTTTCCACTTAAGGAAGGTGTGTAAAATTAGGAAGATGTTCACACTGGAAGATTTTTTAGATATGCTCAGATTCACAGTATTTCTAACATTTCATTTTTAAGTTAAAATTTTGTTAGAATTATTTTGATTTAAGCAGGGGATTTAGGTTTATATATTTGTTTTTCTCAATGCTTCCTTGAATAATTTTTCTGAAGTGATTTGAAAATCAAAACCAGGCCAACAAAACGTGGTTATAATCTTTTTTTCTTACGTGACTGCTTTTTTAAAAATTGTTGTTCTGCCATTATTTGTAATATGGTTTGGGTTTTGAGATTTTTATATGAGATTCTGTTTCCTACGAACCGAAGAGTGAAACAAGTTTAAATTTCATGAGCAAATTAAGATGAAATACTAACTAGTGAATAGTTTCAAATCCAAGATTTAGAAAAGGCCAAATATGCACTAACGTTGCTAAAAATTCTTTCTAGCCTCTTTTAAAATGGTCTTCCAAACACAATTCTTCCTGGTAATATAGGCAGCAACTTATAGTCAGAGAAGGCTAGAGATGTTAATTATTGTTTGTTTAATTTTGAACAGCATATGTGTTGGAATGCACAATGTATTTGGCCTTGAAATGTTTACATTGTCCTAAAATTACGCTTTTTAATAGACTCTCATTGGTCATTTGAAATCTGGTTTCTTTCAACATACTACACAAGAACATAAAATCAGATACTACTTAATTGGCAATTTTGAGCCTATTTCACTTAAAGAAATCAGTGTTTTTCAAATTAAAGTCCACTGGTAAGACAGTTGTTTATTCCTTATTTGCTGTGCATTTTAAAATTTTCTTAAAGAGAAATCCTATTAATTCAGAGACTCTCTAGTTGAACTTTTCCCAAGTATTTGAGGTATTATGATAACAAACCTTTGATAATAGTAGATAATGATCAGAGTGATGAGATCCTGGTTGAATTTGCTCTGCAGAGTACCTGAAATTAGGGAAAAAGATGAAGATTCACTCCTTGGACCAAGGAGCAGAGCACATGCTGGTTCTGTCCTCAGATGGAAAAGCCTTTGAGTACAGCTACAGCAAAGAACCTGCAAGGTGGGAATTGCTTTTCTCTTTCACGAGATATGATTAAATTTCACCCAAAGAACAGTAATAGTTTGTGTGAATACATGTTAACCCTATATGATTCCTGTCCTCTGCTTCATAAAGGAAAATCTTAAATGATGAAGTTTCCACTTACCAGTGAATACAGTACAAGCCAGTATATGTGCTTGGGCTGGTGTGTACTTTAAGCACTTAAATAAAATAATCAATTAATTCCCCTAGTGCCAAATAAGTCTTATCACTTACTTGAGCCTAGAGCAATTCTCTAAAGGTGTTTCCAGAAATAACAGTGTTTATCCTAAGCAAGGGAATGCAGTATTGTGGGGTGATATGTGAGACTTTCCCTTAGATCATATGAATTACAACTTATTTCCAACTTACATGTATTTTTCTATCACACAGTTGCTTAAGAGTATTTTTAAATGGGGCTGGGGATTTAGCTCAGCGGCATAAGCGCCTGCCTTGCAAAAGCAGGCAGTCGTGAGTTCGATCCCTGGTACCGATAAAAAACGAAAAAGACCAAAAAAAAAAAGAGTATTTTTAAATGATCTTATTACAATTATACAATGTTATGATCTTCTAAAAATGACTAAAATGTATATTTTTATGATTTCAGATATCCTGAATGTAGTGGAATAAAGGTTTTTTTCCTTGCATTTCATTAGTAATTACATACACAGTTCCAAATCCATGTTGTAATTTTCATATGGTGGTTAATATAAAATATGCTTTCTCTCATCAGATTTCAAAGCATTTTACAAGAAAAAGATATAATTCATGTTGCATGTGGAGATTATCATTCTCTTGCCCTCTCAAAAGGTACTTTTCTGGAGCCTTATTTTTTAAAACTAGTAAGTATGTGTGTAAAACCAGTTGAGTGCTCTTTTGTAACAGGAAAAAATAAAATTTTGAGTTTTATATGGTTTGGTGTATTGTTCTTAATGGAGCTGGAAATGAGAATTATTGGATATATAAAATCTTCAGGTTCCCAGAATTGCTATTCCTACATTTTGTTTCATTCTTGTATTTTTTAAATAAGATACAGTGAAAGTTTTATAAACAGTCAAAAGCCATGGGTGGTTGTGATGGTGGTGATCTGTTTGGTTTTCTTTTTGGTTTGAGGAGTCTCAGAGTCTAACTGTTGCCCATGTTGGCTTTGAACTCCAGAGCTATCTGCCTCAGCCTCCTAAGTAGCTTATTTTCCAGACTCAAATTACCATTCCAAGTTCAAAATTATTCTTTGCAGAATTTGATCCAGGCCTAGATCACCACTGCCAATACTTCCCCTTTTTCTGCACTCTTCTACCTCCTTGGGAGGAGCTCAAATCCCCTAGTTCTGCTCTACAAGCCTTGAGTGTATTTTGACACCACCTTTAGAATTCTGCAATTCTCCCCATGCCCTTCAGTATCTCCCAGCCCTATCAGACATGAAATAGAAGTAGGTAATATAGACTGCATCCTAAAGAAACTTGACTGTGAACGAGATCATTAATACAGCAAAGTGACTGACGGAAATTCAGGCCTAAGGTAATATTTGTTTTTAAAAAATGGAAATATGTCAGTAAACTAAATGGAAACCAGGATGAGAGGGAAATAAATAAGCATTTGACCTTCCCCAAAGGCTCTGTAAAGGCTTCACACTGAGCTGAAAATCATGGTCATTGGCCTCGTCCATTCTGGAAGAGATTGTTCATGTTGAGTATCTTCCAGGGCAGATTAGGAATATGAGACAGACCTACCCTGTCTTCATGAATTCCAGGGTCTGGTGGTGTATGTGTGTGCCTGGTGAGGAAAGGGGCTATCTATGGTTTGCTAAATCTGCTCGGCAGAGAGGCTGTAACCTAACTGGGGAGGTTGAGGCTGGAGAGTTACAAGTTATAGACCACTCTGTGTAACATAATGCAATTCTTTTAAAAATTATAAATTATAATCAGAATGAGAGATGAAGATGTAGCAAGGGAATTAGTTGTCTTCATATCTTCTTCCTCATAGCTGATAAGAGTCTTGATAATTGTGTTTGAAGGACAGGCTCCCTAATAAAAACATACCCTGTATAGCATATTACAAAGAGTTACTCAGCAAACCGTTGACTCTCTGATGTATATTTTTAGAGTCCCTTGGGTATCAGTGACTCCATTAGATAATATTTTAAAACATTGTTGAAAAATATGCTGCATATATTCAACTGATAGAAGAAATTCACTGTTTAAGGTACTGAGACAGGGTTTCACTATTTCACCTAGTCTGATTTTGAACTCATGAACAGAGGGATCCTCCCTCCTCAGCATTCTGAGTAGCTGGGATTACAGTTAATCACCACCTTTCCTGGCTTCAAGTGGACTTTTAATTAGCTTATTTAGGATCTTTAGACATCAGAAAGGAAAAAAAAACTAGTTCTAGATTTTATTTTCATAGAGGTAGACTATATTTGATTTTTATGGGCCTACTATGTAGATTTTTCTTTAAATAAGTGCAAGGTATGGTCAACAAATATGACAAGTGTTTTGATTTTTAAAAATTTGCTACTTAGGAGGATACATTATCTTTACTCCCTGTCAAAATATTCTCCCTCCCTTAGCCCGTTGTTCTTCCCACTTTCTGGAAGTCCTCTCATTAAATGTCTTCAGTTGCACTGTCCTGGGGGCCACAGTATCCTGAATCGATTCAAAACATTTACTTTTCATGGTCATTTTGAATTTGAAAAAGAACCAGAAATCACACACTGCAGGAATTCATGAATAAGGTGAATGAAGAAACACTATATTGTTTTTATTTGACAGAAATTACCTTAAATGATTAATCAACAACAGTATGATCAACAAATACAGTGGAAGTTTAAATTAGAAAATTTACAACAGTAAAAGCCATATTACCATTAATCTCCTTCAAAATGTTTCCACATCCTGTGAGCATATTTAGCCCATCATTCTTGGCAATGGATGTTTTCCTATAGTTTTTTTAAATTTAAACATTCACCTTAGCTTTCATTCAACCTTTCTGTTTCTTTATTCTGATTAACGTATATTCAGGTAGTTTCATTGTATCCCGAAAATGGGGATAAGGAATTAGAAATTTATACTGTGCGGTCTATATAATACCCAGTAGTAATGTCTGCTGTGCTTGAAAGTTAGTAAGACAGGGGGCTGGGGATTTAGCTCAGCGGCATGAGGGCCTGCTTTGTAAGCAGGCAGTCGTGAGTTCGATCCCTGGTACCGATAAAAATGAAAAAGACCAAAAAAAAAAAAAAAAAAAGAAAGTTAGTAAGACAGCACTTTCTCTGCTTGCATCAAGGTGGTGAGCTCTTTGCCTGGGGACAGAATTTATATGGACAGCTCGGAATTGGAATGATATCTCCCTCAGCCCTCACACCACAGGCCGTGCAGAGCCTAACAGGAGTCCCCTTGGTCCAGATTTCTGCCGGAGAAGCCCACAGCATGGCCTTATCCATGTCCGGAAACATGTACTCGTGGGGGAAAAATGATTGTGGACAACTCGGCCTGGGCCACACCAAGAGTATGAAATATTTTCAAATCCATATTATCTATAAGTGTATAGGTTAGATTGGAGGCAGATGGAGCATAGACACTGCTGTCTGTAAGTGGTTCAGATCCTCCCTTTTGCACTGTTCTTCCTGATTTCTTTCTTTGTCTTCAGAACATAGTTGGTCCTAGAGACATACACAGTGTGGAAGTTGTTACCATAATTGAGACAGGTTTTCTGTGTGTGTGAGATGGGAAAGGGATTAGGGACCAGAATACCTGGATCCTGACTCCCACTTTGTGGTTTAGTTGCTTCAGGGCCTTCTTGTCATTGACTTCTCTAGGCCTGATTTCCTTTTTCTTGAAAGTGATAAGTCTAGAAGAAATTACCTCAAAGTTGTCTTTGTTGTTAAAATTGATTCATATGTTGTTACAAAAGCATATGAAAAATCTTGCTTAGGAACTCATCATACCCTGATCTCATTCTATAAGGCATATATTTTGTTTCTGCACACGTCAAAACCTCAAATTCCTTGTATTGAGGATAAGTCAAAAGTTTTCATGGTCGAAGCAACTAACTAGGGTTCTTTTTTGTAAGAAACACTGCTGCCTCATTGTGTTAGTGTATACAGTCTTGTAAATCACTGGTCAAACATCCTGTACCTGATAGTACAATCTAATTATAATGGATAACCCGTAAGTCAATACTAACAAAAATGTTCAAAGAAGGAAAAGACTAAAGGGGCAGTTAAATTACTTTTGCTGATCTCTGAGTGTAAGGAAAATAATCCTGAAGGAAGTAAAAGGTAATGTGAGGTAAGGATACTGCATTAGAACATTCAAGAGGGAAAAAAAAGAATATGGTCATCAAAAGTAATACTAGCACTGAGAATGTAGCTCGGTGGTAGAGCTCAGCATACGTGAGTCCTGGATTCCATCCCCAGGGCTGCAAACCAAAAAATCTGTTATAGGCAAGATTTGAAAATATCAGATGTGTAGCAATTAAAGTTAATTAAATCAGGGGAAAAAGAAAGGAGTGGGGTCTGGGAAATGGCTTGACCCTTTTGCAGCTGGAGCCTCAGCTTTAGCCCTAGAGCTTTGTTGTCAGAATGGGGTGGAAACTGACTATTGCAGGTTGAAGGGAAGCAGTCTGGGTGACTGCAGTGTGAAACTCAGCCTTTCTTTTTGGCCGCTTTAGCTGTTCTTTCCCCTCACAGATACTGATTCTCCTTCCCTTGTCGACATACCAGACAATCAGAAAGTTGAGTTTTTGGCTTGTGGGGGCGCTCACACTGCCCTCCTCACACAGGTGAGTGTGCTCCATCTGCTTTGTGCTTGTGCAGGAACAGTGTGTGGGCAGTTGGTGTTTCCCTAGGTGGAAATCACTCCCTCTGCCTGTGAGGCTGGCCTGTGATCTGGGAGCTTTCCTTCCTTGCTACCTAGTCACGGATGCAGAGGCATAAGGATGAACATGACTTGTGTGTGGTGCTTTTGTAGCATTTGACACGAAGTTCATTTCCCTTAGGATGGGCTGATGTTCACCTTTGGTGCTGGAAAATATGGGCAGCTTGGTCACAATTCAACAAAGAATGAACTAAGACCCTGTTTGGTGACTGAACTCCTGGGAAATAGAGTGACCCAGATAGCATGTGGAAGGTAAGTTGTAAAGTGTCAGTGAATATTAATAAAATCGATGTACTAAACAGCTATTTCAGTGAAATTTTTATCATCTTTGTGATATAAATCCCTGACATTTTCCAGTGAAGATATTTAATTTACATAATTCATCATAACTTTAATATGCATATTCATTTGCATTGATTTTAATTTTTATTCCTTTGGCTTATGGGGTACTGAGCCCTAGGACTCTTGACAAGGTAATCACATGCTTTTCCACAGGGCTGTCTCCCAAGCCTAATTTTTGTAAATAAACAAGTAAGAGTACCCTTTCTATTGCCTCCTTAGTGAAATACTTTTGTAACTATTCAGGCACACCTTCTTTGTTTTGTTTAGCCAGACCTCACTTTTTGTTCCAAGCTGGCCTTGAACTCCCTATGTAGCCCAGGCTGACCTGGAACTACATGGGGCCTGTCGATGTCCGCTCCCGGCCGGCAGGAAGGACACACGACAAAGTCTGGCGGTGGACAACCTTTTTTTTTATTTTCCTTTTCTGTACAGCCTGCCCTGGGATCGCTCCCAGCCGAAGCCTCCTTTGGTCCGCTCCCCTCGGCTCCTTCTGGGCTTCTACTTCCGGGCTTCTTCTTCCCCCCCAGGGGTGGCACCAGTATATATACGGATACAGTGTCCAATCATGTTAAAGTAAGCAAGGCAAGCTGATTGGCTAACATCATCAGTTGCCAGGCAGACTATATTGTTGAGCGGGTTGCTTACGCGGTAAGCAGGAAAATAACATGCTCGATGGGAGGGGTAATCTACCTCAGGCTTTACTCTTTACTACAGGCCTCACGTCCGCCAAGTGAGGCGACCGGGCTCGGGGCTGCGGCTCCCAACATCTCCCCCTTTTTTATTTTTTATGAATGTGCGCATCGTAGCCCTTCCTGGACTGGGTGCAGAGGCTTATGCCCTATGCGTAGGCCCACCGTAGGTCCTTGGCTTAGACCCTGGTCGGCCGTCCCATGGTTTGCCAAGGCCCTGAGGCCCTCGTCCTTTTTCTAGGGCCAGGCACAAACTGGACGGAACCTGGATGCACACAAGCTTGCACTCATTTCCTCTCCGTAAAGAAATCCCCTCGGAGAGAAATTTAGACCTGGGCAGCATCTAACAGTCCAGCGGCTTACGTGCAGGATGGGGTAGGGCCTGGCTTGGGTTGAGTCGCACCGGGGGAGTACGCTCTTACCCGTCATTGACTCTCCTACCCAGCTATGTCATAATTTTTTAGAGGAGGAGTGTGGGAAGCTCACCACCCCTAGACTCGGTCGTAGGCTAGGCGAGCGAGCCATGCATATGCCTGAGGATCTTCTTGTCCATTTCGGGCTACCGCTATTTCTATTCATCTTGTTGGTTGGTCTGTGATGGATCTCCGGTAGGGCAGGTCTGATCTTCAGTCGAGGGCTTTGTCGCCCGTGTCAGTCTCTCCGGTACCCACAGTGGTTCTCGTCCCGATTCCTGTGGGAAAACACAAACCGCGCCTCGGTTCCAGCTGACCACTGGATCCGGGCCCATCCATTGTCCTGTCAGGGCATCTTTCCACTTCACCCACCCTTTATGGTTGGGGGAAGGGTTGCAGTGCTCCACGGCTGGGGAGCAATTATCATTATTTAAATTTAAAAAATTGTGTGTGAATAGTGCCATGGATAATCGTGCCTTTGGGGCCAGGCCTTGGCCTACTCCCCCTTTTTGTTTTTGTAAAATTTCTTTGAGGCTTCTATGAGCCCTCTCAATGATTCCTTGACCTTGGGGATTGTATGGGATACCATGTTTTAATTGAACCTCCATCATTTTGCAGAACTCATTGAAGGCTTTGCCTATATAGGCTGGTCCATTATCAGTTTTTAATATTTTTGGTTTGCCCCATGCGGCCCAAGCCGCCAGGCAATGATTGATCACATTAGACACTTTTTCACCTGTTTCTGCTGTTGCGAATATGACGTGAGAACAGGTGTCTGTGGAAACATGAACATATTTAAGAGTCCCAAACTCCTGTATATGTGTGATGTCCATCTGCCAAACATCACCAGGGATCAAACCTCGAGGGTTTACTCCCATCGGTATGGCAGGTTTGTATGTGGCACAGGAGTCACATAGTCGCACGATATCTCGTGCATCTGCTCTGGAAACATGGAAATGGTTTGCTAGTGTCCTGGCATTGACATGAAACTTATCATGGAAGGCACGGGCTCGCTCGATTGGTGTTAGTAAGGTAAAAATCCATAACGGGCGAGTGGCAGTATCAGCAGCCGCATTCCCCTGTGCCATGGGCCCCGGCAGGGATGTATGTGCTCTTATGTGGGTGGTGAAGACCTTATGGTGTCTGTTCTGAAGCAATGTCTGGATAGGCAGGAACACTAATATAAGTCTGGAGGCGACACTGAGGTCCACACCTGCTGACCCAGGGGTGGCCCTTGTTGAAGGCTGCCATCCTGAGCTGTCCTGTCTCTGGGGCGGGGGCCCGCCTGTGAAGGGGGCCCCCTCTGGCCGTTTTTTGGCCCTCTAGCATCTCGTCCACAAATACGGTTGCCCTGAGCATCAAAGACCGACCTACACTCCTCAGCTTTGTGTGATCCCCTCTTGCATCGCCCACAAACATATGGTTCTTCATTCCTAGGGCGAGGCCTAGCATCTGCATTGTTTGGGCAATGACGTTTAATGTGTCCTGGCTCCCCGCAGGCAAAACACCCTTTAGCCTTACATTCCCCTTCTAACCCGCGAGGTCCCCTCTGCTGTACAGCCGCAGCCAGGAGAGCAGCCACTCCCGAGTTGGAGAGCGGCCCCCCTATCTCTCTACATATCCTAATCCAGGCGTTGAGGTCCTTGTTCTTATGAGGAGCTATCGCTGCCTTGCACTCCTTTGTACATTGCTCAAAAATCAGCTGCCTTACCAGCGGTCGAGCCACTCCCGGATCAGAAAATATCTTATCGGCAGCATCTTGCATTCGGGCCACAAAGTCAACAAATGGCTCTGTGGTACCCTGAATTACTGGGAAAGAACCCTGCGACTCCTTATCGAGCGACTTAGGCTCCTGACAGCTGGTCTCTTTGGCCTCCTTGCCATTCAACTTTCCCTCGTCCTCGGAGTCAGACGACTCCGAGGCTAGAGCCCCGTCCTTCTCCTTAGCATCTTTGTTCCCCTTGACGGGCCCCTCTCGGGAGCTCCCCAACTGGGCCTGCTCAAATACCCTGCGTACTTTTGTAAGCTCTTGAGAGCTTTCTCCACAACCACCCTCGCTCTTAATGTTACTACCTAGCATGTTTCCCATTTTTTAATATGTTACTCACCGCGTGAGGCCCAAGGAATCCGCCACTTACGCGTGAGCCTGAGGGGAGTCTAAAAGCCCTGTAGGTGCGCGCCACCCAGAGCCCAGGCTTATCCCCAACTCACCTGTCTTGCAGCTCTGTACTGGAGCGTTGTCCGCTGTCACGTCTCGGGGGTGATCAGTCCCCGTGCGGGCCTCCAAATGTCGATGTCCGCTCCCGGCCGGCAGGAAGGACACACGACAAAGTCTGGCGGTGGACAACCTTTTTTTTTATTTTCCTTTTCTGTACAGCCTGCCCTGGGATCACTCCCAGCCGAAGCCTCCTTTGGTCCGCTCCCCGCGGCTCCTTCTGGGCTTCTACTTCCGGGCTTCTTCTTCCCCCCCAGGGGTGGCACCAGTATATATACGGATACAGTGTCCAATCATGTTAAAGTAAGCAAGGCAAGCTGATTGGCTAACATCATCAGTTGCCAGGCAGACTATATTGTTGAGCGGGTTGCTTACGCGGTAAGCAGGAAACTAACGTGCTCGATGGGAGGGGTAATCTACCTCAGGCTTTACTCTTTACTACAGGCCTCACGTCCGCCAAGTGAGGCGACCGGGCTCGGGGCTGCGGCTCCCAACAGGGGCCCACCGTTATAGCCCACCATCAGGTACACTTTTATCCTTTAGGTAAATAAGTCATTATGTATTTATTTGGAAAAAAATTAGTATGGATTATAAGGATTATTCACTAATCACCATTTTATAACTCTTTAGAACCAGTTAATATTTTAGTTATCTAAATATTTTTAATTTTCTTTTTTTTTTTTTTTTTTTTTTTTTGTCTTTTTTCCTTTTTATTGGTACCAGGGATCGAACTCACGACTGCCTGCTTGCAAGGCAGGCGCTTATGCCGCTGAGCTAAATCCCCAGCCCCAATATTTTTAATTTTCTAAGGATGTTTGTTTCACAGAATATAAATTACGTACTCTGTCAGGTTAAAAAATTAGAAGCAAACAATGGTTTACATTTTAAAATAGACCATTAAAAACAGTGTAAACTGGGCATGGTGGCCTCACTTCTGTAATGCTAGGCAGGAGGCTGAGGCAGAAGAATACTATGAGTTCAGGGCAGCCTGAACTACATAATAAGACCTGGCTGGATAAATTAAAAAAGTACCTACATACATAGATACAATCCATATGTATATCTTACAGTGAATTCATGTAACACTAGTTCCCTGATCCTTTGACTTCATCTTCCTCATTTCTATTTTCTTATTGTTTTGTTTTGGCCACTGACCACAGTAGCAGTAGGGTTGGGGCCTAGAACATGGTAATAATGACTATTTGGTAAGATTAGTTTTATTGTTTGCCCTTTCAGTTGACTCTCATTATTCCTAACACTAAGATGAAGATTTCAGCCCTGGAATTTGAGGCTTTCACTCTGCATAGGCCTGAATACTAAGGGTATGACTGGGAGACTGGTGGAGATGGAGGATAGGATTCTAAATCTTAAGATAATGATCTTTAGTAATGAGGTCTAAAGTAAGTGATGCAACAGTTAACTTTCACACTGCTCTGTTCACATTAAAGTGTAAGTGTTAAAGGTATGAAAATAAATATTCTTGGGAATTTTTATTTTCACAGCTCGATTTTTATATATAAAAGCAAAAAATTCCATTATGTGGTTTCTCTTTGTTCATCACATTTAGCAGTCCAGTTTTTACTTTTGTTTTTTTCTAGCGGTACTGGGAGTGAACCCAGGGCTTTTGCTCTGAGATACATCCTCAGCCCTTTTTGTTTTTGGAGGTGTTTTGTTTGTTTTGAGACAGATTGCTTCGACTTTGCAATCCTCCTGCCTCAGCTTTCCAGACAGCTGGGATTACATGTGTGCACCAGTATGTCACATTTTCAGCTCACTTCCTCACACTTGGATTATGGAAGTTGGTAGGGTTAAGAGGTGCAGTAGTTTATCCTAGACACACTTGTTCTTTTGAGCAGTTTTTCCTTACTCAATTTAAATTCAAACTCTGAATATGGCTTCATCTGTGAGCTCCTGAAATCCTTCATATTAAAAATAAACTGAACATAACTTTCAGTTAACATATTTCCTTAAATGGATAATACTAATGTAGACCAGGTTAGGGAGTAAGATTCTCTTAACTAAAGAGACGTCTTCTTAATGTATACCTCATTCAGTACATCTTCATCAAGAAAGTGTTAAAACCATGTTAGATTTTTCCCAGCAATTCCTTCAAATGTTACACATTTCAAGAGAAGAAGCCAGGTAGAGTTAGCTTAAATGCTGTCAGGGAGAATTCACTGGAAGACTCAAAGAACTTCCTGGAAGCTGGTAACTCAGTCAGATTTATTACAAGCAAAGTACACCATTAGTAACAATCAAAGGAACATAGATGGAGGAGTTTAGGAAGAGCCCCAATGCTGAGTTTCTGGTTGTTGACTCCCCTTTGTAGCTTTTGAAAGGTGTTACTTCTTCTAGTCTGATCACCTTGTCCAGAGTTTTTATCCAGGGTTTGTTGCTTAGAGATTGACTGAATCTTTACCACATTGAACTCAGTCTCTAGCCCCTCCCTCTCATCAAAGTCCAGAAGACATTATGAGCCACCTGCCAGGTGTAGTCCCCTGGCTTCATCGAAGACACCCCTGTATCACTGAGATACACAGTAAGACTTTCTAAATTACTCCCTATAAATTAGGCACAAGGTGACCAGACTGCTCTTTGAGCAACACCAGTGAGGAACCAATGCGTAAGTCAGTAAGAAAATTCCTGTGAGAAGGTCCTTGGGCAATAGAGTGAGAGCTCAGAGAAGATCAGCTAATTCAGTCTTTTGGGGAGGCTTCCAGGGCACAGTGCCTGTCAAGCTGTCACTTGAAAAAGGAGTAACAAGTTGTTATGGTTTGTGACTAGATGTTCCCCGCAAAATCATATGGGGTCATAGATTTGTTTTTCAGAAGTGGATGAATCTAGACTGTGTGATTGATTCATAGCATAATGCTGGGATTAAGGCTGGGTGATTTCCGGATCAGTCTACTGAATGAATTGGCACCACCCTAATTCCAATTGAGTAAATACAGTATAAGAGACAAAAAGAGACTTTCCTTTCTCTCTTGTTGCTTTTGCTGTCTTCTACCACCATAAACTGTTGCCCCTCTGCTATGTGCCACCCTGGCTTGTAGCTACCTGATTATTGCTAGGAACCTCTATAAACTATGAGCTAAGGAACCTTTTTCCCCTTTAACTTTGGGTATTTTGTCTTAGCAACAAGAAAAGTAACTAAGACCCAGACGAGGAGAGATGTCCACAAAACAGGGAACACTATTCACTAGTGTCTGTTGTCATGGTTCTGAGTAGATTTGACACATTGATTTCTTGGTCTCCATATGGATTTTATCCTTGAAGAGTTAGTTTCACTATTTTTGAGTAACCTTATTTTGGCAGTTTGCAGTATTGCTAAATATTCTGATTATTGGGAATAACTGAGCACTGACAATAGTGTATGCTTCTATTTAACAGGTGGCACACACTTGCTTATGTCTCTGATTTGGGCAAGGCCTTTTCCTTTGGACTTGGAGAAGAAGGACAATTAGGAAATGGTAGAAAATGTACTCAGCTGATACCACTGCCCATGAAATCACCATCAAATGAAGAGCTCCAGTTTGGTAAATTCTCTTGGACAATGAGATCTAGTACAATACTACACCTTGTTAGAGAAAGTAACTTTTCCAAGAATATGATTTGACAAGGAAAGCAATGTGCACATATGAAGGGGGTTTCTCTCAATGTTGGCTTCATGTGTTTAAATAATTTAAAGCATTTAATTTACCTTCTTAAGTCAAAATAACCATGATTTTCTTGTTACTCTTTCAAAATAGGATTAACGTAAATTGGAGCATTGACAAAGTAAAACAGACTAAAGGCATTTAGAGACACAGGGTATCTTGATTTCAGTTTGTCAGAAACTTAAGTGCAGGCTGATTGGTTTTCCTGCTGGTTTCATCGATCCATGATCCTTTAAAACCCTTAGAATGCTAAGCAGCTCACACACATACAGACTTACCTGTGCCCCAGATTTAGCTGTGTTGTTGTCCTTGTGGTGTTTTGGGGGGTGTATTCTCTCACCTCCATTTCACTGGAAGGTGAGAGAGAGCAAAGCCAGTTCCTTAAAGCCTCTAGCTCACAGCCAGGGAATGGTTTGACTGCACTGGAACCATACAGTGTAACCCAGAACCTAAGCTCTACAGTGCTGTGTTAAAAGCACCTTGGAGCAACTTTGTTGCTTATTTCTGAACTCTTAGAAGAGTTAGAATGGCACACACTTGTAACCCCAGCATTGAAGGCTAAAGCAGGAGGATCACTATGAATTTGAGGCCAGCGTGGGCTACATAATGAGTTTAAAGCAGTGATTACAAACCTCAGGCTTTTAGTGATTAAAAAAAATCCAGGGATTTAGCTCAGTGGTGTAAAAGCAGTAATAATCCCAGCACTTGTGAGGCTGAGGCAAGAGGATTACTGTGAGGTCAAGGCCAGGCTGAACTACATAGAAAGACCTTGTTTCAAAAAAAAGAAAGAAAACTTAGAATTTCTCATTTATTCTGAGAAACTAAGCAGTGGAATAAATTCCTTAACCAGTTCATATTTATCTTCAAATTCTTAGAGTTTTATTCTTCACAATCATTGGTTAAATCTTGAGATGGTAGATTTTAGGTATGAAAACTGAATTAAACTAAGCAACAACTAATGAAATATTTGCTTAGTTTATCTTATGTATATTAAATTGATACACTTGATAACTTTATGAAACCACAGCATTTTCCAACTTGACATCTGATATATAGTATATGTATCTCAAATTCCTAAAGCTGAGAAAATTTCTCTGTCTCTCTTACAAAGATAAAGTGACTATTTTTAACAATCTAGAATTATTTAAATTGAGTATGAAAGCTTACACAAGATGACCATATGTGTTCATATTGTGTGTGTGTCCTTTTAGAAAGCCATCACTCAGGAAAAGAGTTGATAATGATTGCTGGAGGGAATCAAAGTATTTTGCTCTGGGTGAATAAAGAGGTAAAAACATCTCTACATGTTATGTAACTTGATACTTAAATGATTCTAAAATCCAGATTTTGACCTGTAAAATTATCAATTTGACTTTTTGGGAAAAGCTAGACATTACAAACCCTTTATTGTCTAAATTACATTCATTTTTACCTGCAAAAACAGGTTTTCATGTTGAGTGTTGTTATCAGTGTGGTTTCTTTACCTACCTTTGAGATACTCCTGGCCAATAGTATCATTCAGTATCTTAGTGAGTTGCTAGGTTGACAGATTTGTAAACATGGTGTTGCTGACCAATACAGTACTAAAAAGACCCAAAATCTCTTGGTATAGACTTAGCAGTAATCAATCCTCAGCTTCCTTGGCCTACTTCACCAAGGGAAATGAGGTTTTCCCCTTCTACATAGCCCTTGTAGTATTTTTCCCTCTAAGCTATCTGCTGTTCAGTTTTATCTGGTTGTACTTGTATCAAGTGCCAAGTAGGACCATCAGAGATACTAGCTTTGAATTAACCCCCAGCTATATTACTCGTATTTAAAAATCATCGAGACGTGGTGGCACATGCTTGTAATCCAAGAATTTAAGGAGACTGAGGAAGTCAAGTTCAAGAGATCAAGTTCACTTTGGGTACTATTGACCCTATTTGAAAACAGACCAAAAAATCAGTACTATCCTCTAATTTTAGAATGCACCTAAAACTTGAGTCCTCATATTTCATGTTGAAATTACTGTATTTTACTTTTCGTTTGTTTACAGAATTCCTATGTTAATCTGAGGAGGAAAATTCTTACATTGAATGAAAGAACTGTAAAGAGATGGATTGATGATGTGGGGAATAAACAGTGGAAGAACACCAAAAGGTATATATACCCTGCATGTCTGATCTGATCATGCCTCTCTTTCAAGCAGTATTTCCCAAACTGATTCTGCACAACACAGAGGTGGGAGATTCTCTGGTTGTCTAGTGTATTAGTCAGGGTTTTCCTGATAGAATCAATAGGATGTTTATCTATAGCTGTCCACCTGTTGAAAAAGACTGTGTAACTTAAGAAATTATTTGTGTCATGTAATTTTGGGGTGGCAAATCTTAAGTCTGTAATGTGGGTCCACAAGGTAGAAACCTGGGGAAAAGCTGAAGCTATAGTTGAAGTTCAGAGTGATGTCTTTTTCTTGGGTATCATATTCTTTCTATTTTAAGGCCTTCAATTGATTGGATGAGGCTCTGCCCCATACATGTAATGAGGGATAATGTTTACTCAAGCCTACTGATTTAAATATTAAGCATACCTTTAAAATATCTTCATTGAAATATCTGGAATAATGGTTTATATCTTAGTATCACGGCCTTGTCAAGTTGACACCTAAAATGAATCATTGTAACTCGACTGTGAGCTCAGTGAGCACAGCTTTCTTTGCTATTGGGCTTCCCATGGTCTTCATTGTGTTTCCATATACTATGATTCTAAGCAAGAAACAGTATTCTTTGGCATTTCCCAAATCCCTTTCACCTTGGCATCTACTTTTTTGTGCACCCCAGTGTTCAGCTGAATAGGGTATTCTTGCTCTAGGCCATAGAATCCACGTTCTGTAGATTGTACTCCCTCTTACAAGAATCTTTCTGGTAGAATTTTTAGTTCTGGCTTTCTTTTTCTAGAAGACAGTTGTACAAAACAGTTGTCCTGTAATATGAAAAGTAGAAATGATGAAGTATTTCTGTAAGTTTTCTTTAAATTGTATGTTCTTCACTCTATAGTAGAGCAGTGATCAATACAGCCACAAGATTAGTGGGAAGAAGAGTGTTTTATTTGTCCTGGAGTGTTCTGACCCCAAATCAGGCCTTTTGCTCTTTGCATGAGGCTTCAATATATACCTATTTGCATGTTTTCCACTGATGTTTGTGATTTAGCAAACAGAAGAGACTTTTAGATGCCAAAACAATATACAAACAGAAGATTGAGGGCAAAATTGGAAGGACAATGATAGCATGTTTTATTTATCATGATTTATTCTATAAGAGGCATATTGTATGATTTGGTTTAACCCATTTATTCCTTTGTAGAGAAATCCGAGAAATTTTTTCATCTGCGGCTTGTCTGACTGGAAGTTTCTTAGTGGAAAGGTAACACATACAATAAATTAAAATTCTATTTAAAATATTATGAAAACAAAGAATGGCTCCAGGTCAAAAAGTTATGTGTTTATCTCTGTATAAATTACTTCCTTTTATTCAACAAATGTGAATATCTACTTGCTGTGTAAAATGTCAGAAATATAGAAGGACAAGAATTTGGCTTAGTGGTAAATTACTTACCGAGCATGTATCAGGCTCACAACATATAAACACAGAAAATACACAAAAAAAATGAAGAGAGTCCATTATCCATCACTAATAGTAATGTCAGTTCAGCAAACATGTAATATTTATGTCTATATTCCAACCTCTTAGGAGCTTATGGCTACAGGATGACAAATTCAAACTAATTTTCAAAGGCTTTATCTCAAAATTTTAAAAAATCAAAAAGGCTGTGGATATAGCTCAGTGGCAGACAACTTGCTAAGCTTGTTCCAGGCCCCAGGTTCAATCTTCACTACTAAAAAACAATAACAGCAAACACAGTGCCAGCCAAGCACTGGGGGACACATCTATAATCTCAGCTACTTGGGAAGCTGAGGCAAGAGGATCACAAATTGAAAGCTGGTTTAAGCAACATAGTGAGATCCTGTTTCAAAAAGAGAGAAGAAAAAACACCTGGTAGTTAGCAAATAAAGAGACACACACACAGAGGAGATTACATTGCTTTATGCATTGTTTTATTCTTTTGTTTTTGTCTATTTTTCATTTAGTTCAGTTTTCCACTGTTCAGTATTTTCTGTAACATGAATTGCTATATAATGTTCCATGGGAAGATTATGCCTTAATATATGTAACCATTTTCCTATGGATAGGTCATGAGAATTTTCTTTAAATATTTATTCTTTTGGTATTAGGAATCAAACCCTTCACCTCATGCTTGCAAAGCATGACCTTTACCACTAAACTGTGCCCTTCCCCTAGTGAATTTTTTTAAGTTACTAGGAAAGAATGACTTGGTACTTTTTCTCTAAATATTTCTTTAATATTTATTTATTTTAAAGTATTTTCCTAATTTTAAACACTAATTACATGTTGTAATTCACAGACAATGTGTCTGTTTTCAGGCAGTAAATCAGCTGAGCAAAACATTCAAGTAAAACACACTTTTCATTAATAATATTCTTACTAGAATATACGAATTTACTGTTCTGAAGCCTCTTCCTTTAGTCACCACTTTTAGTTCATGTAACTTGAAGAAATGGTCATGTTTCTTAACTTCAAAGGCTATTAGGCCAGGTTTTTTTCTTACAGGCAGTAAGCAACCAAGATGTTTAGGGAAAGGTATCTTTCCATAGAAAAATGAGAAATTAGCTATCAGAAAATGTTAACTAAAACTGTAAAGAATGTGAATAAATAAACTCATGGGCGTAGCCCTTTCACTAGCTCCGACATTACTGTACCACTGTTGGTGACATCTCTAGAATTTACTGCCCTCATCCAGAAAGCCATTTGTTATATATATTTTTTTAATTTATTTGGGTTCTGAGGGTCTAAAAAGTGTAAAAACATCGTGCTTTGGTCATTTCTTCAGACTTCACTCTCTTGTAAAAATCCTTATGTACACTAAAATTTGCATGTTTTTCTCTTGTTTACATCTTATATGTGGTAAGTTAAAACAATAATGACACATGAGATTTCAAAATATCCTTTTTCTTTTTCTGTGGCCTTTTACAATTCTTGTATTTAAAGAGGAACTGGAGAAACAGTTTCCACTGATGTGGATTTACAGATGGCAAGAGAGACCTTCATGAAGTTAACAGAACAGGAATGGATTTCTTCTGTGGTAATAACCAATACTTAATTCGGAAGTAGGATAATAGCTTTTTTTGTAAACAGATGCAAATATGATTGCAGTTGTGTGTTTTCAAAACCTTGGTGATAGGGTGCTATGGTTAGGGCTGGAATGGGAGCTGGTTTGTGATGAAATCACTACCCTGCAGGCATCTTGGACTAGGAGATTGGTACTGTATTCAAGATGAATCTGTTACTGATTCATCCTTTCTCATCTTCAAATCAGTTTTTTCGTTTGTTTGCTTGTGTGTTTGTTTGTTGTTTGTTTGAGACAGGGTCTCACTATGCAGTTCAGGCTGGCTTTGAGCTCACTTTGTAGCCCTGGCTGATCTCGAACTGCCAACATTCCTCCTCCCTCAACCTCCCAAGTGGTGGGATTACAGGCGTGTACCACCATACCTGGCTTTTGAGTCAGTGTTATTTATGTACAATTCATTTTTTCTTTAAGATGATAAATTTATAAGGAAAGACTCTGGGTTATGTAGGGTGGAGAACTTTTCCTCTACCTATTTTTGTGTCACATGAGAAATGAGGGAGGAAGTTGAATTAACAATAGAGAGAAAACTGGATGTGTCAGTGCTGTGGGACTTCTATAGCAGAATACCACAGTCTAGATCATTTGTAACCAAGGGGAGTTAGCCAGCAACAGGGCGCATGCCTCAGGTGCATGATATTCTCACAGTTCTGTAGGCTGGGAAGTTGAAGATGAAGGTACCAGCACAGTTGGTGTCCAGTGAAGGCCTAATTCCGGGTACACTTGCCTGTTTTTCTTTACTGTGGAGAAAATGGATGAGTGGTTTCTCTTGGAGCTCCTTCATAAGGGAATTATGGGTAATTTTATTCATGAAGACTTTACCCTTGGGATCTAATTTCCTACAAAGTCCTTACTTAATACCATTAAAAATGGGCATTTATGGAGACAGGAGCAAACTATGAAAGTTTATGGTCATGTTCATTTATATAGTTTTTTATCCAAGGCCAAGCCATTGATCTCTTCCCTGACACAGAAGTCCATGGAGAGAGACTCTAAGGCAGCTTTACTTTTAGAAGGACCTGCTTAGTCAGACAGTGGAAGCACCATAAAGCCACCTTTATGTGGCACTGTACCTCAGAGATCTCCAGTTTTTGGTTTTTTGTTGCACCTTTTGGAAGACTAGGAATTGAATGCAGAATGTGGGGACATGCTAGGCAAGCAGGCCCTCTACGACTGAGCTGCACCCCTGTCCTTATTTTTTCACTTTCAGACATGGTCTCCTTGCATCGCCCAGGTTGGCCAGACTTGTGATCCTCATTACCCAGAGTAACTGGGACTACAGAGGAGTCTGGCATACTTCCTCAGTTTAAAGGAATCTTCCGGGCTAGGGATATAGCTCCATGTAGACCATTTGGCTACTGTGCCTGAGGACCAAAGTTTGAGTTTTAGCACCTGGAAAACAAACAGTCTGTGCCTTTTCCCCATGATCTGTTTCAACCACAGGTAACTGAATGTCTGAAGGATAATCTGCTTGGAACTCTTCTGTACCATTCTCCACACCAAGAAGCTCTGTTGGTTTTTCTTCTGCTCCCAGAATGTCCTGTAATGCATGAGTCCAAGAACTGGTTAAACCTGGTGATTCCTTTTGCACAGGCAGTTTGTAACTTGAATGACAAATCTTCACGAGTCCTGAGTAAGTTTTATCCCACCTTATCTGTACACTCAATATAGGGTCACTGTCTCAAGTGCAAGTTACAGCAAATTTTGGACAAAAAGTGTTCAAAATACATACATTTAAGTCCCAGGTAGGTGAATTATTGCAAAAATTTCCCTACATCAGTTTAACCTTATTATAACCATTACTCTTATCATACAAACTTGAGTTTAGTTCTTAGACCTGGATCTTTAGTAAACAAAGAGTATCCAGCTAACATAAATGCATGCTTTAGAACTTTTCCCTCATGCTGTTTTGAAACTTGTTATTTTTATCAAAGGGAGATGAAAAACAAATATTTAGCCTTGTTGTTGTTGTTTATTATACTCAGTATTACCAAATATCATTTTATAAATTTTAAACTAATGTCAGGGATCTAACAGTTTGATGTACAAGGGAGATGTCCAGCAAAATTTGAGCCATCCAGTTCTCCTCCTAGAAGGTGGTTACAGGTTCTAGTTTTTTTTGTGTGTAACTTTCAGAAGACATTCTAAGCATATAAACATACTTAGAATATTCTTTTTTCATTTTTTAAGGGAACAGTCTTGCTGTTGTGTCTCTTAAACATGCTATCCTGCAGCTTCACCCTCCCAAGTGTTGGGATGATAGTCATGCACTACCACAGCTGGCTGTCTTGATTCTCTAAACAGCAGAAAACCATTCACATTCTTCCTTTGCAGCTTCTTCCTACTTAACCATGCATCATGGCGATTCTTCCATTGCCCAACCTGTAGAATTGTCTTCATCTCTTTATTGGCTCCTTTAATCAGCTTATCATTACTATAACAAAATACCTGAGTCAGGCTTCTTATGAAGCAAAGTTATTTATATCACAGTGTTGGAAGCTCCTGAGTGTGGGACTGACCCCATCTCCGTGCTAGTGAAGGCCAGCTTGGCTGTGTCACTCCATAGCAGTGGTAATGACAGGAGCACCTGTGGGAGCAGATGATCAGGAAGTGATAACACTGCATGGGCCAGGTTTGTGCTTTTTAAACAGTTTCCTCCCAAGAACTACCTTAGTCCCATATCAAGGTAGGTCCCCAGGTGACCTACCAGGCCTCACCTCATGAAATCCATGATCTTAGCATTGCCACAGTGGGGCCAACCTTCAAACACAGGCATCCTTAGGGAGCGAACCAAATCCAAACTATAGCACTCTCTAAAGAGATTCCTGTGGGAGATGTACTATGGGTGGTTGCGGGTACTCTCTTATAGCTGTCATGGTGCTAACATACCTTTTTTTTGCATGTGTATAAATTTACACATGCAAGAAAGTTTCCAGGAAGCAAAATTACAGCATCTAATTGTGCACTTTTATTTTGAGAAATTTTGCTAAGTGACCTTCATTGAAGGTTCAGCCACAGTGGCCACCGTTCACATTGTCATCTCTATGAACTGCAGCCCTAGAATAAAGCAGCAGGACAACTCTGACAACTGTCCTACCCATGTAAACTGCATTCTCAAGGATGTCATTGCCTTTGATCATTACCATTCTGAAAAAAAAAAAAAGCCTCATTGAAATTTGAATTTTTCTTATAAATGAGGATATGCTGCTGTCCTTAAATCTCAGTTCCTTTTATTAAAAATCATATTCCATGAATTACTAGTTGCTCCCCTTGTCATATTCATATTGGTTACTGGTAAATAAGCTTTTAAACTATTGAAGCAATCTTTCATCTATACTAGAAATTTAAAGTATTTTTTTTCTTTAGACTATTTACTTTTTAAATTTTGCTTTGTGGTATTATTTTCATAAATGATTATTTGCAAACATTTTCATGTATCTGCTATTGTAGTATTTTCTTTTATGCTTTCTAGTTTTGGGGCCCATACTTCAAAAAGCCAACTGCAGTCTGAAATTTTTTTACAAATTCCCATGTTTCTACTACAATTTTATTTTTTAAAATATGTTTTGTATTTTTAAGTGGCCCACAGTAAGTATACATATAGTGTGTTATTAGATCAGAGTAGTTGACATATTTATTATCTCAGTCATTTATCATTTTTTTGTATTGAAAATACGCCAAAGTCCTCTCTGCTAGCTATTGTGAAATATTTAATTAATCATTGTTGGCCATAGCTCTTCTGTCATGCTTTACACATTAGAAGTTATTCTTCCTATGCAGCTGCAGCTCTGCACCACTCAGCCATCCTCTCTCCAGCTCTGCCTCCGCCCCGCCTCCCAGGCTCTGGTAACCACTTCTCTGAGATCATCTTTTAGCTTCCTCGTGGGAGTGAGTGCCATGTGTGTCTTTCTGTGCCTCGCTTACTCCACTTAACTTGCTGCCCTCCAGTTCCACTCATGTTGCTGCAAATGACAGAATTTCATTCCACCCCACTGTAATTTTGATTAATTCATTTTTGTATTTAAATCTTTGGCCCATATGGAATTTACTAAGGTTAAATGTTACTTTTTTCTATGTCTGTTCCACTTGTTCTTTTATATTTATTGAATGATTTCTTTTATTCTCATCAATATGCAATGCCAACATTTTTGTATGGTAAAGTCTCTGTGTAGATGAGCTCATTTATAGAATCTCTACTCTGCTGTATTGAACTGCTTTCATGCATTTGGTTAATAGTGTTTTAATTATATTAGCATATTAATTTATTTTAACATTTGATAGTTGTTTTCTGAGAATTATTCTCTTGCTGTACCAAAGTCCAGTTTGCAAACTCAGTATTAAAATATGGTAATTCATTATTTTTGAAAATCTATTTCCATATGTAACCATTGTTCATAAAATCTAAAAGCATCTAGATAATATTGTTTCATTTTTATAGATGAAAGTTTCCTCATATTTTGTGTGTATATGTACCTATATATATTTTCAGATTGATTAACCTATAAAACTGTTATTTGAAAGTCACATAGTCAGTAAATTAAACATAAATATGAAGCATCAACAAATTTATTCAAATTCTGAATTTGAGCTTTTAATCTTAATGATACCTAAGGAAAAAACCTTTTCCCCACATCAGTTAGTAGTGTTGTGTATGATGGCACCATTAAAAAAGATTTTTACAGGTTATGTAATAATAAGTGGGAAATTTATTTCTTATATTAAAGAGCCCAGTAGAAACTGAGGGATCTGAGGCCTGAGAGGAGACCCACATTTATCCTAGTTGATTTTGCTCCCTCAGAAAAATACTGGGCATCTTTGGATGCATCTTCTCTGAACACACTGGTCCAGATGCTTAAGACAGCCATCGTCTCTGAACTGCCTTATGTGATAATTCAGAGTTCCTGTAATATTAAAACTCTTCTAGAAATGATGAAAGAAGTACATGAGGTAAGGGTTAATCTAAAGGTATGTATACAGTCATTCATTCATTTTTGTGGTACTTAGAATTAAACCTAAGCTTTTGTATGGAGCTGTTTCCTTATCCCTCTAGGGTCTCTCTAAATTGCCTGTGCAGGCCAGAAAATTAAGATCCTCCTTCCTCAGTCTCCTGAGACACATCAGTGACTGCTATGAGCCTCCAATGCAGGCTTGCACAGATTTGTTGAATCAGAACTCCTGAAGTCTCAGTCAGTTGGAGGTGTTCTCTGGTGGGTGGTGGTATTGTTGTTTTCAGTACTGGGGATTAAAACCAGTGACTTCACACTGAGCTACATTCCCAACACTTTTTATTTTTTGATACAGAGTCTTGCCAGATTTCCCATGCTAGCTTCGGTCTTGCATCAGCCTCCCAGAGCTTGAATTACAGTCATGTCACACCACACCTGGTTCAGTTAGTTCTTTAGTAAGACAAATATCAGTCGTGAGGAATCACATAAATGGTAACTTGGTTCATGAACTTAATTTGTTCTATGATTTTAGAAAAGATGGCTACATTCATGTTTGTGGGAGAACGATGACCGCAGTTATATTTGTCATCCAATGCAGTTTGCAAACAAAAACAAAATTTTGCTAAACACTTCTGCTTGAGAATCACCATTTGCAAACAAAAGCATTCATGAACCTGTGTGTGTGTGTGTGTGTGTGTTAAATACAGTCATGGGCTGAAAATTTAGCTCAGTGGCATAAGTGCCTGCCTGGCAAGCATGAGGTCATGAGTTTGATTCCCAGTACCAAAAAAAATATATATATATATATACAGTTATCCCTTGTTATTCACATGGATTTGTTCCAAGACCAAAATCCACAGGATCGTACAACCATCACGGTCATTCTAGAGCATTTTCATCATCCCCAGTTTAGCTCTCCTTCCTCAGTGCTTCCAGTATCCTCATTCCTATCCCCATCTTAGGTAAGCACCACAGATTTGCCTGTTTTCAGCATTTCATGTAAACATCTAGCATGAAGCCTTGTCTAACTTCATTTACCCAGCATTATGTTTTCAGGATCTTCCATTTTGTAGCATTTATCAGTACAGTGCTTCATTTCTTTTTGTGGATGAACATATGAATGTGTCACATACTTATCTTTTTAACAGCTGAGGGATATTTCAGTTATTTCCACTTTTTCACTAATGTGAATAATGCTGCAACTACATTTGTACCAATTTTTACATACACAAATATTTTATTTTTCCCAGACATATATCTAAGAGTGGATGCTTTTAGGATTACATTCTCTTAGTACATACAGGACTTGATACAAGAAGGATATCTTTAAAATTGTGTCCATGACAGGAGCAGTGTGTTTATTTTCAAAAGATCATCAGTGGCATGGCCCAGGCTCAGAGGCAAGGTTTGGGGATAAGGTTGGAGCACGCAGCCTCTGGGACCACATCCAAGGGCAAGATCAGCAGCTGTTGCATGTGCTCTTGAAGGCTTTGCGCTTGGCCAAGTTTGGAAGTGCAAGTGGTTCTTCCAGGCACTGCCAGTGTCTTCCAGCCCTGATCCACCCACGTGGCCTGTGTCTGCCTCTCGTGCTAGATGGTGCTCCTCTCATGCACTGTTTCTGTTTGTGCACTTACAGTGATTCAGTCTACAAGATGAATTTTTCTTGGCTTAGCCTTTGCTTAACAAATAGTATGTGCCACTTCATATTCTTTGGTGGAGAAAGTGTTAACTTTGTGCAGCATACTTAGATTGGTATGATACTTTTATTCTCAAGGTCTAGAAACAGCATCCAATTCCTGAGCCAGAAAAATTTGTTTACCAATCTTACAGCATCTTGCATCTTTGACCATATTTCTTTATTAAAATAAGAGAAATTATTGATAAGAAAATAGAAGTTTTATAGATATACTTCCTAATTTAAAATGTATTTCATATGCATATATAACTTTATGTCATAAGTTAGGTAATTTATTAAAAGGCATATGATTTTCGGTCATTTTTTTTAAAGGTAAATAAATCTATCTGTCATCTGCCAGAAGATATTTTCAACATCAATGAGCTGTGTGACGTGTTGAATTTTCTTGAAGAAGGAAGACTGCCCTTTTGGGCCCTCAGTAAGGTAGTGTTCATACTTTATAACAGTGCAGACTTATATCTGTGTAGGTATGCCTTTGATAAATTAGCCCTTGAAAATTTCCTAATTACAATGCTCAATTTGTTAAACTGAAGAGCCACTAAAAACCTAATCACCTCTTACTGTATTTTTTGGAAATTTGCTTTTAGATAATTTGGATTGTTAACAGATTCCAAAAAGCATAAAAGGAAATTAAAGGTGATAGATAAAAGTACTGATTTTTTTCTTCTAATTATCAAAACATTTGTTTTTTTTTTTTTTTTAGGTGTTTGGTGACCACCCCTATCTCTTTATGTTCACTCATTTTCCATTTGTCTGTAATTTACAATGCAAAATTAAGTTGTTACAAGTTGATTCATCTATAAAAATGTGGGTATGTATTCTGTATGCATTGACGTCACAAAATACTTGAGGCTAGGTGCTGTATGAACCAACGAGGTTTCTTTAGCTCACAGTTCTAGAAGTCCTATAGTGTCAACTAGGCATCCAGGCAAAGTAGCCCCAATCGTACCCCGTTGCATGTTTGTTGAAGGGACTAATTGCATTGGAAAGCCTGACTTCCTTTAGTAGGATGTGGTTTGGTTTCATTTTTTGAGGCAGGGTCTTTCTGTGTAGCCCATGGTGGCCTTGCATTTGCAGTGATTATTCTCCTGCCTCAGCTTCCCAAGTCCTGGGATTACAGACATGCTCCATGCCCAGCTACTTGAAATCCTAACTTTGTAATAACCTACTCCATAAAGAATTCATTCTGTGATACCAGCACCAATCCGTGCTGAGGCCAATGCCCCATGACTGTTTGTCTTTTACAAGGCCTCACCTCTTAAAAGTGCCACCATCTCTCAGCATCACTGGTTCTATCACATGAACCTTGGTGGTACACCTTTAAACTATAGCAAGTGGTCCACATTTTTGTTACATAAATTGTTGAACTTATATAAAATCGAGATACTGGTATAAGCCCCATCGCCAAGATTCAACATTTGGCCTTACTTTTGCATCTATCACTTTTTTTGGTTTTGTATTTGTTACTATTTTCTGATGAAGTATTTTTTTTTAAAAATCCCAGGCTGAAATCCCAAATGAAATATTTTTCATTTTTCTCATACTTTAATGCATCTTTTCTGGTTGTCCTGCTCTTGGCCTCTGCTGATCCTCATCATTGGGTACAGGTGGTTAATACATGATTCTTCTTCCATTTTAATGTGTTCTGTAAGTCTTTTGAAATTTTATGCATATAGAGAAAATTATTTAATAATTCCACACATTATTTTTATTAAGGCTTGCAGTACACCAGTTCCAGCCCCATCACTTCTTGCCGAGTGTTAACTGGAATTCTAAAAAAAACATTTCTTCGTTAGTCAAGGGCTGTTTGGCAACCCTAAAATTGCTAAACACCATTGAAATAGGAAGGCAGTGTTTAATCTTTTCCTTTTAGATTATTAAATGCTGAAAAATGCTATAGAGTTTGTACCAACTTAAGTTTCTACCGGCAGTGTATGGAATATTCCACATGTTCACCAGTGTAGAATATTACCAATCTGTGATTTTTTCAATTTCAGATTTAATCATATTTCAGATAATTTTTAATTTATATTTCTCATTGTTGCCTTACTCCTCATTTTCTCTAGATAATTGCTTTCCTATATGAGAAATACTGAAAGTATTTAGTAGGGTGTGCTTCTTCTGTCGTTTTCTCTCTTTCTCTATGTAGTTTTAGTTTCTACTGTGCTATTAGCATCAGTATTTGGGCTTTATGTCTTTAAGCTTCTTGGGGCTGGATTTGTAAGCTCCAATTGGTTCAATTTTTTCTGAAATAATACTCAGTTAGTGATTCTATTTTTCCCTTACTTTCACACTATGGCTCTTTTCTTGTGTTATTTCCACTTAACATGTACATTTATTTTGTTTCTTTATCACCATCAACCTTAGTTTTCAGTTTATATTTATGGTGTTCCTCCCACAGACATTATGTTAAAGATTTTCCAGAGATATTGTTCATTACTCAGGCCTGTTTTCTATATCACTCCTTGAGACAGGTTCATATCTGTTTATATCTAGTGCTTCTACTTTGAAGACTGAGAGGAATCTAAGGTAGTGACTATTACTGACTTCTATTAATAATTCAAAGTGTTGGGGCTGGGGATTTAGCTCAGCAGCATAAGTGCCTGCCTTGCAAGCAGGCAGTCATGAGCTCGATCCCTGGTACCAATAAAAAAAAAAAAAAAAACGAAAAAGACAAAAAATAAATAAATAATTCAAAGTGTACTGCCATCTGTCTGAGTAAAACATACAGGCGTCCAAGGACATGTATCTACAATAAGAGCCTTTTCTTTTTTTTTTTTTATTTTATTTAAGGAGAAAAGAAAAGAAAGAAAAAAAAAACAGTGAAGGGGTACAAGTTATACAGATTTACAGGAGAAAAAAATGCGCAGTAGGCAATCACTAGTTAATGGATTACATATTGCCATCTTAGAAATAATTGTTCAAGTCACAAAATTAAAGCTTGTAGAGTGGACATTCCAACAATGATACTGCAAACAGTTCTGTTCAATGATCCAATAAAACTCTGTGATATCATTTTCTATCTTATACATTTAAATATACATGCAGTTATATAGTTTAGAGCACTTTTTTTTCCTCTCTTTTGTACAATGACTATTACACATTTTGGGTTTCATTGCTCCCACGGTTCTTATTGCTTTTTTGGAAGAGAGTAAAACCAAATGTGACATAACAGAACAGAATCGGTCAAGTCAAAAGGGTGGACATAATAGATAATATAAAAACATAATACAAGGTGATCAACAATGGTTACCATAATGCCTCCCGCTATTTCTAATAGAATTGCCTATATCATTAGTTGTTATACAATTGAACAAAACTGTAAAGAATAAAACCGACAAAACCAAAACATTGGAGATATTGTAGGTCTTCAAAAGTAGATAAAAGTCAACGAGAATGGGCGTTATAATGAATCTCATTATCTTCTCAGCTGATGCCTAAACTTTCGAACCTGATACTATCCAGCAAAACAGAATAGAGGAACCTCAGTCAAAAACAAGATGGTGAGAGTAATACAGGGCTTCAAATCGAGATAATAGAAAGTCAAAGTGGGTTACTATATTATATCCTGCTATATTTTTCCCTTTAATTAAATGGATAAAAATAAAAAAGTAAATAATGGAGTGGAGATTGAGAAAAAAGAGGGCATAACAGCGAAACAGGGCAGATCAAAACATAACCATTTAAGCAGAATAGTGTTTCACCACCAGATAATCCTGACCCAAAAATAGTTACCATATTGACTCCCTCCCTGAAGTCTTGAGTACAACTTCATATACTGTAGCATTAAGTATATCAAAACAATATAAAACCATTTAAGAGAATGACAGCATTATAGAGTATTTAGAATCGACTAACAGAAAATGAACAATGGTCTCTGTATAATCTCCTTGTCCTTAAAAGGTTTTTGCTTATACTATCGTACATAACAAAATCCAATAAGATACAACCTGTTTAGACCATTGGAGACAGAAGAACAAAAGCTAGATGAGACTTCAAAACAAGATGGTACTAAATCAGCATTACCTATTAAGATGTCATTTTCTCCAAAAAAAGCTGTTCCTATCATCCAATCTTCTCTGTCTCATTTCTGTTGAGCTCTTTTTCTGTCAGTAGCTGTCAGTTTGTCTTCTTCATTTTGTTCTCTGCTCCATTCGTTGTGGCCTCCCCACCACTATTTCTGGGTTCTTTGTATTTTTCTTTTTTTAGAATATCCTGCAATACTTTCTGTAGGGTTGAATTGGTGGTTGCAAATTCCCCCAGTTCCTCTTTATCCTGGAAGCACCTCGTTTTTCCATCAATTTCCAGGGACAGTTGTGCAGGATATCTCAATCTTGGCTGGAGATTATTATCTTTCAAAGCTTGAATTATTTCTCCCCATGCTCTTCGTGATTTGATGGTTTGTGAAGAGAAATCTGCTGTAATTCTGATGGGTATTCCCTTGTAAGTGATCTGTTTCTTGTCTCTTACAGCTTTTAATATTCTGTTCTTGTATTGAATTTCTGGAATTTTTATTATTATATGCCTGGGTGTTTCTCTGTTAGGGTTGTAGGTAGCTGGGGTTCTGTATGCCTCATACATCTGAGTATCTTTACCTTTTGCTAAATTAGGAAAATTCTCCTGGATTATTTCTGTGAGTAGCTTTTGTAGTTCACTTGTTTGTGTCCCTACTTCTTCTTTTATGTTCTTAATCCTTAAGTTATGGCTCCTCTTATCATCTTCTTGTCTTTGTATTATTGCTGTGTGTTTCTTTGTTATTTTTAAGAAGTTTTTCATTTCATTCTCCCATGTTTCAAGTCTGCCCTCCAATTCAGATAGTCTGTCCTTAGTTTCTTTCAAGCTGTTATGCCAGTCTTGGATAGACTTCTTAATTTCTTGATAGTCTCTTTGAACCTGCTTCACATACTCAATGCTTTCTCTGTTTTCTCCATCAAGTAATTCTCCCCTCTTTTTCTGTTCTTCCATTCCACCATCTGCTTTTTCCTGGGTGGTGCTTAGCATTTCTCTAACTATTCTGCATACTTCTAGCTTCAGGTCATTGATAACTTCATTCCTGAATTGGTCTATGAGGCTCTCTAAATGGCGCTTAATGTATATTGGTGCGGTGTCCACTATTGCCTGTTTCTCAGGATTGGGGGCCGAGGAGCCTTTTTTGTTGCTTCCCTTCCCCATATTTTCTGTTCCTTATAAAATGCAATCTTACATAGGAGGCCCGGCTTCCCTGCCTGTCAGCCACAGCCTGATCAAATTGCGCTGGCTAGTTGTTCCCGCCCACCGCTGCGCCCCAGGGAGTTGCGGAGGAGGCAGCCTACGCGGGAGTCGGTCGCTCCTCCGGGCCACCGTCAGGCTCTGGGATCTGGGTTAGGCCAGCCTAGGGAGTCCGCCAGCAGCGTCACTCAGGCCAGGCACCTTTCACCAATCCTGTCCGAGAGGGGAATGTGCAGCTGGAGTTGTCACCGCACCCTGCTCTTACAGGACTGCCCGAGCCCAGAAAAACCTCCGCTGGAGTCAAACTGTGGTAGGGGATCAGTTTCTTGCTCACCTCGCCACCAGTCAGTTTTCCTCCTTGTCCGTCCTGTTTCCGACTCCGTTCGCAGACTCCCGTTCCCAGAGCTCGGCGCGTCTCTCCTTGCCGAGCCGCTGTGGAGGCAGCCAGCCGCTGGGCGGCGGGAAATCCAAACCGCGGTTTCCAATGGCACGGGGTCGAACCTCCACACCGAGATTTTTCTGTTCCTATTTTAGCGCCAGGACTGTATTCTAAGTTAGATTCTCTCAGCCCAGTTCGTTCCTGAGTCAGCAGAGCATATCTCTACTGGTTCGTATCTCCTTAGTCCGCATCATTCCTGGCCTCTGAGCCGAGCCTTTAGAGAGCCTTCAGTAGCTGCTGCTGTCTGTCCGCCATGTTCTCAGGAAGTCCAATAAGAGCCTTTTCAAACCTAAAAGATTTCATTTCTATACTCTAATCCTAAAATACCAGCACACATGACATTTTCCAATGTAACATGGCCCATAAATCCATTAATACTAGATTTATGTACAATAAGCAAGTTAGACACAAGATACATCTTTATACATTCCTACTGAATTCTATAGATAAGGTATCTCCCTCTAGTTGCTGTTACTACTGTCAATCACTAGTGTATTTATAAATAAGTTTACAAAGATTGCTTCGGTTTTTATTTTCCTAACATTCTTGGTAAAGGGAAAAATAGATTATCTTTCCTTTTCAGATCTGGTTTTCTGATCTTTTACATTACTCAGTCCTTCATTTGTAGATCCACTTCTTCATCAATGTCTAAAATTTCTAGTCTGTTAGAGAGTAGTTGAGTGGACAGTGGACCCAAGCAGGCAGCATGCACATAATGAAGGATTATGACAGAAAACTCCTGGTTGTAGTTCTGATGGGCAGAGTTGGACAGCACATTCATAGTCCCATTCTCCAAAGGTGACATGATGTACAGTCTTAAATTGTAAGCTCCAGACGGAACTACCAATTCAATTGTGGAGACAGAGAAAGAGAAAACCAATGAATAGAGAACAGGCATGGAAAAGCTGAGAGAGAGAACAAGATGTAGGAGGCTAATCCAGTTCTGCAATAGCTAGAGACTCTTCTCTCTGCCAGAGTCAGCAGAGGACATTGCTAGCTATGGCTGTCACTCACAGGCATGCAATAAATTGCTCTAGGGTCAGTACTGTTAATGGACACCATTGTTTTAGAGTCTAGAGCCAGGAGATGACCAGAGAGGACCAGAGACCGGACTTGTTCCATTTCCTAAGCTCACAACCTCCTTCAGAAAGCTTTACCTCAAAAAAAAAAAAAAAAAAACATAGGAAAACGTGGTGACATCATGACTAAATTTCTCAGAGTACAGTATATAGTGGTGACAGAAATCTAGGACAAGGGAGTGCCAAGCCCAAAGTCCCATGTACCCTTGTCTGGGAACCGTGAAGAGTGTTAACATGGGTAAACACACCCGAACTACAAACTTAGAAGAGGACATCTGATAGCCACTGGCCTTGCTGTCACAATTATAGGACAGACACTGAGAGAATGACATCGGTTTATCAGCCCTAAATACGTTTTTATTGTTCTTGTGATATGAAGAAGCCCTAGAGGAGTGTTGGAGTAAGGTTGACAAGTCCATCTCTAAATGTCTAACCTAGAGTTCAGCAGAGACAAAGTCAGGGACTGAAGTGGTGAAGCAATGTTGGGTACCCAAAAAAGCTAAACAGTAAGCAGAGTAACAGGAGCAATGCTAGATATAAAATGGGGCCACCTGGGCCATGTTTCTAGTGCTTGTAGAGCAGACTGCCCTCTGGGTTAATGCACCTTAGTTAGGAGAGGAATCAGTCTCCTTGAGTCTATCTTCTCCCATCTTTGTCCAACGCTATCATTATTCCTGAGCCCTGGAAGTGCCCATGAGTGCATCATGAGGTTCATGGTGCAACACTGTTTCAGCACGCTGGGTATCAGGGTTGCCTTTCAGAATCCCATTCCACAATGTATGATCTGAGATGTTTTCAATTACTATGTGCCCCCATTCATGCAGGATGACTAATTTCTTGTACATGACTCTTAGGTGCCATAGTTTTTCTGATGCTACATTTGTTTTATCTACCATCATGTGGACAAATAGTTCTTTTTGTTAATGACAGTGAGAGTATACCAAGTAATGGCAGTAGTGATAAAATGTATGTTTTGCAAAGGATGTTTTATGAGAAACATTAAACTATCTCTAGGATTCTTGCTAGTCAAAATGAGAAGCCAACCAATATACTTCTTTTTACAGAGGACAGAAGAAAAGGTATACCGACGTAGAATGATGGAAGGAAAAATTGAATCACCTAGATTAATACTGAGAATCAGGCGAAGTCACCTGGTAGAAGATGCCTTACACCAGTTAGGCCAAGTTGAAGACGCCGACCTTTCGAAAACTTTAGTGGTACAGTAAAAAGTGTCACTGAATATTTTTACTGATGCTCAGAGGTTGATGTTATGCTCAACGTGGCCAGGGCAGTTAGATTTTGCTTTGTGTATCTTTTATCTTTCTGCTGTGACCAGCAAGCATGTTCTTCTCACTCTTACAAGAGGTGCAGGATAGAAATTAAATGACTGAATAGATTTTTTTTTTAGTCAAAAAAGGCTCAAGTCAGAATCTGGAAATATACTAAAAAACATCAAGAAGAAGAACTGCAAAGATCACATGTAAAACTCATACATTAAGGAGTGGTGAAGAATTGGAACTACTCATACAGTCAACAGGGGCAATGACTCTATATTTTGGTTCTTTTTTGAGTTTCAGATCTTCTACTGTATGGGTTTCATTCCTAGGCATCCTTCATTTAATCCTGTGTGTGTGTGTAGGATGTTTATTATGTGGTATCTCAGAATATTTGCCCTATCGTGGTAATAGTGTTATGACTAACACTATGGGTAAGGCTTGGATCTGACAGAAGAAAGTAGATTTTCCTGATGTCAGGCATGAGGGTTAATGCTGATCTCTACGAAAGGAGACCAGAACCTGAAGGGTGAGACTCAAATAGGAGAGAGATAGCTCCCAACATGGGATTCCAGTGGGAAACAAAGAAACTATTTTATAAGCCAGACTTTCTAGTTGTGTGACTCTGTTCGTAGCTATTTTTCCTTATATCTTAACTGGGAGGAAATCAGTAGAAAATTGTTCACCAACAGAATTGACCAGGAGATGAGAAAGTAAATTTCAAGGCAAATCCATTCAATATATAGAATCTGAGCATGACAAGGTTGTCATTGCCCATTATGAGGGAGTCCTATGATATGGACAGACTTGCTAGGACATGAGCAGAAATAATAAAACCAGAAAAAGCTTAATTTTCTGTCATACTTTTCATGTGGGAAGGTAAGGCAGTTCTTGAACATGATGGTTGTGGCCAAGGTTTTGATCAAACATCTTGCAAATAGAACCTTCCAAGCAAAGAGAGTGGAAAGAGCAAAATCCAAAACAGTGAAGCTCATGGACACTTACAGTAAGACGATTTGACTAGAGGTATAGCTCAGTGGTAGAGTAGTTGCCAAGTATGCATGATGCCTTGGGTTGAAGCCACAGCACCAAAAAAAAGAAAAACAAATAGCAAAGAGATAAAGAATAGCAGAAAAGGAAGTCAAAAAGGAGTATCTCCAGAGACATGCAGATACGAAAGTAGTAGAGAGCGTCTCTACTACTTTCGTATCTGCATGTCTAAAAGGAGGGCCTCGTTGATACTGATTTCTTGTGCGATGGTGAGAGCAATCAAGAACCACGGTTTCTGCAGGCCTAATGCCCAGGCTGACTGAAAGGGTGATTTAGCAAAAGCCCTATTGTGGACACAGGCTTGGGAAACCAAGTAACTGTTAACTCTGGCCAAGAATGTAAAACCTGAACAGTAAGATGAAGATACACAGTAGCATAGAATAACTGGGGAACTGAGAAGCCCTGGAGTTTGAAGCACACCAAAATTGATTCAAGATTCTGGTCACCATAAATGGTAGATGCTAGAGACTCCCTTCCCTTGGTCCATGTAGCAGTCTAAGTGATCCACACACTTACTATGCAACAGCCTGAGAAAAATAGATTGGTGGTCCCCACTGCTAGGCAGGAAATGGAGGCTGTGTAGACTGGGTGGAGGTAAGTGCTGAGTGATTCTGGTAGTTCTAGTGACTGTAAGAGTGATCGTTAGAAATTTAACACTTTCCGTAAAGGCTGAAGCATTAGGTTTAAATCGGACTGTGGGGATGTGTTCTCTTGCTTAGGTTGAATTTATCAAAGAAATTCGTCCTGAGAATGGAGGGGTCACAGCCGAATTCTTCCACTGTATATTTGAAGAGATGACCCAGCCAGAATACGGGATGTTTATATACCCTGAAGAGGGCTCCTGCATGTGGTTCCCTGTAAACGTAAGTCTCTTTCTCATATTTTTTTAGAACAGAAAATATACTCCACATACTGCAATATGCAAACCATAGAAAATAAGATAAGATAACATCATAGTGAGCCTTGGGACCTATATTTTGGGTAGCACTTGTATGGTCCATAATTTTGCTGTGATTCTTCCATGTTGTGATATGTATCCACAATTAATACTTTTATATTGTGAAAAAATACTCAATTGTATTGTTATACTACAATTTCTTTTCCTGAAATCAGATACATAAATACTTGGGGTATGTCCTAAATTTTGAAACCTAGTAATTGAGAGTAACTTCAAGCAGGAGAGAAATAATTGATAGACATTATTGACAAATATACCTCTTAATTCTGAAAAGTGAGTGAATTGTGTAATGGTTATATTTTTTAAAAATATGCTTGGAATGTAAGCGCTTTCTTTTTAAAATTATAAAAAAATCAGTTGATAGGCATTAAGTCAGTGTTTCTTGATGTTCCCACACTGTATTAAATAATGTAGAAAATTCAAATTATCTGACAGAATCCCTTTCCCCTTGAAACTTCATGTACATAGATGGGAGTGACAAGACTTACACTAGATTGCTAACTAAATGTCTAACAGTTACCGAGAAGCACATCAAGGGGAGGAAGGAGTCAATGGTGTGGAAAACAGTCCAGAGTTCTAGTAAGTGATAGTAGTCATTCCATGATTGAGTTTTCAGTTTCTTATCTAAAAAATGAGTATCATTTCTGTCTTGTCTTCTTTACAAGAATATTGCAAAAATAAAAAATGGTAGTATGACAATATGAAAAACACCAAAATTTAAAGTAGTATTTGTTAGGACAAAAGAACATCCAGGGAGGATGAAAGTCATTAGAGGATGTACGGTGGAAAAGGATAGACCTGAGATAATCATTAAAGACAGAGACAGAATGGACTAAAGTATAAGTGAGGGATAGAGCGGAGAAAATAAACTGTATTAACCCTATAAGGCTGGTGGTTCATCTTGGTCTTACAGGTGAAGAAAGTAAGGCTGAGACATAAAGCACACAAGACCATAGCACCTAGCAAGTGACCACACTAAAATATGAATTCAAGGCCGTTTGACTCCAAAGCCTTGACTCTTAAGCACTGTGCTGTCCTTCTGGACAGAAAGTACAAAAACAAAAAAATTTTTAAATTTGTATATGACTTTGTTAAAACGACAAAATAATGTAGAACCAAGGGGCATACTACAAAGTTTAGAGTCACAGTGTGCGGTCATGGTGTGCAGCTGTAGATGAGCAGAGGATGAAGATTACTCAGAGATGAAGAATTAAGAGGGGCTGCTTCTTTGGTGTAAGAGCGCCTCAGGGAAACAACGGTGAGCGCAGACCTCTGCAGTTACTGATTTGTGATTCAAAGCCATGATAACAAAGATGTAGAAGAAAAGCTCTTGCAGTGCTGTGTATAGGAATTTTTGTCAGAGGACAGGGCTGTAACGGAATGGTTTGTTACATGACAAATGTCATCCTGCATTAAGTAATCCTTATGGGGGCAGAGGGGACACTAATGGCCAAAGCAGACGACTCTGAGAGCAAACTGACTGCCAGTTTTGCTGATTGCCATCTTGCAGATTCTGCTCTAAACTCTTAACCGTGCATTCTAGGAGCATGAGAACTGTTGTTCCAAGGTCCCATCCTTATCACACTCAAATCCAGTTACTCCTTTGCCAAGCATTTCCCCATAGTTTGGGAAATAAAATGGATTAGTTTAGGAGCAATCACCTTTGGAGATTACGTATATTGTACCTTTAACTCACTTCTTAAATTCAAATACATTTTTATCATCTGTCCTCATTTATCTTGAGAAGCCAATAGGGTAAGTAGATTGAGTTGATTGAACATTTTGTAAATGGCCCAAGCTGTGTGCCTATAACAGCAAGTCCAGTACAAGAGTAGAAATCTTATGGTCTTCAAGCTAATGACCTTTCCTCTGTTGGGCAACAATTATGACAGACAAACAGAGAGAGGGGGGGGGGAGGGGAGGGGAGGGGAGGAAAGAGAGAACGTGCCTGGGTTTTCTCTCATGTAGAATCTAAGGCACAAAAGCAAAGCCAACTGTATTAATCTGTTTTTGTTATTATTATTGTTGTTGATTTCATTATCATAATGAAACATCCAAAGCTGTTGCTTTACAAAAAAATAAAAGAGCTTGGGGCTAGGGATTTAGCTCAGTGGCTTAAGCGCCTGCCTGGCAAGCGCAAGGTCACTCGGCACCAAAAAAAAATTAAAAAATTAAAAGAGCTCTAAGCCCAGCATGGTGGTGCAGACCTGTAATCCCGGCACTTGGGAGACTGAGACAGGAGGATTGCTGTGAGTTCGAGGTCAACCTGGGCTACATAGTAAAACCCTGTCTCAAAAGACCGAGAGAGAGTGAGAGGGAGAGGGAGAGCAAGAGAGGGCAAGAGAGAGAGAGAGAGAGAGAGAGAGAGAGAGAGAGAGAGAGAGACAGACAGACAGACAGACAGACAGAGACAGACAGAGAGAGAGAGATTGAAATTGAGAGAGATTATTAAGCCTTCATTTCTGGTATGTTCAGACACCTGATACACTGCTAGTGTCTCAACTATGAGGATCTCATGAAAAATGTTATCATGCTGTGTCTTGTGCAGGGAAGAGGTTACCTGGAGAGATGGGAAGCCAAGGTGAGAGTGGACTGTCATGGGAACTACATTACTGCCTTCCAAGGGTACATTCCCAGTAATCTCAGAGCCTCTTCCTAAACCCTGCCTCCTAAAGATTCCATGTCATGGGAAATTTTCTAAAAGGAACATTACAATGGGTTTATGATGCCCACATTTATTTTTTAAAAATATTTCTATTTAATTGTTTATTTTGATTTTATGAGTTTTATTATACAGTGCTTACTTAAGAGGAAAACAAAACCCTGACAATTTCAGCAACCTAGTGCTTCACCACCAAAAAACCCGACTTAGTAGTAGTTACCATAGTGTCTTTTTTCCTTGAAATATTTGAATATAACTTCGTATACTATAGCATCAAACATATCAAGACAGTGTAAAACCATTCAGGTGGATGAAAGTATTGTAGGATATTTAGAACCAGCTAACAAAAAATGAACAATGGTTTCTATATTATCTCTTTGCCTATAACAATTTTTGTTTATACTATCACATATAATAAAATCCAGCAAGATACAACATGATAAAACCAATGGAGACAGAAGGGCCATAGTTTGGTGGGGCTTCAAAACAAGATGATAGTAAATCAGCACTAGCTATTATGATGTCTTGTTTTCTTCAAAATAGCTGTTCATTTCATCACAGGCAATAATATCAAGCAGCCCAGAATAAAGCCATTCCAATTAATAAGTGAAAACTTTATAAGGCTTCAAGCACACATAATGGGAGATCATGATTACCACATATTTTTATATATTTGAATCATTTCTTACACTAAGGAAACTATTTGGTATTCACACATGCAAGTTTGATTTATTTCACTTATGAGTATGGTCTCAAGCTGTGCCCAGTTATTTATAAATATCTCAATGTGATCCTTCTTTATAGCTGAGTAGTACTCTATTGTATAAAAATACCACAACTTTTTTATCCATTCCTCAGTTGATGGACACTTGGGTTGTTTCCAAGATCTGGCAATTACAAATTGTGCTGCTATAAACATAGGTGTGCGTATATCACTGTGGTATGATGCTTTCAGTTCTTCTGGGAATATGCCTAGAAGTGGAATAGCTGGAATAAATGGGACTTCCAATCCCAGCTTTTTGAGAATCTCCAGACTGACCTCCACAAAGGTTGTACCAGTCTACACTCCCACCAACAGTGCAGAAGAGTTCCTTTTTCCCCACAGCCTCTACAGCATTTGTTGTTGGTGGTTTTCTTGATCCTGGCCATTCTTTCAGGAGTGAGATGGAATCTCAGTGTGGTTTTAATTTGCATTTCTCTAATGAGTAATGATGATGAACATTTTTCATATATTTATTTGCCATTTGTATTCCTTCATCTGAGAAGTGTGTATTCATCTCAGATGCCCATTTTTGGATTGGATCTTTGAATTTTGGGGGTCTGAGTTTTTTTAATTCTTTATATGTTTTAGACAAAAGTCTCTTGTCTGAGGGGCAGTTCACTAAGATCTTTTCCCAGTTTGTGGGTTTTCTTTTCACTATGCTGGAGATTTTTTTTTTTACATGCAGAAACTTTTTAATAAGAGGTGTTCCAAGTTATTGATTCTGGGAAGTATTTCCCGCGCCGTTTGAGTACTGTTCATGAATTCTCTACCTACCCCTATGTCTTCAAGGTTTCTACCCAATTTGTCTTCCAATAGATTTAGTGTTTCTGTTTTAATATTCAGAACTTTGATCCATTTAGATTTTAATTTAGTAGATGGTGATAGGCATGGGTCTGGTTTTAGTTTTCAGCAAATGGAGAGCCAGTTTTTCTAGCACCATTTATTAAAGAGACTGTCATTCTTCCAGTGAACCTGCTTGGCTCCTTTATCAAAGATAAGGTGGTTGAGTGTGTTTGTAGTTGTGGTTGTATCTTCTAATCTATTCCATTGATCTTCGGCTCTGTTTTGATTACAGTACCACGATGATTTTATTACTGTTGCTTTGTAGTATAACTTCAAATCAGGGATTGTGATGCCTCCTGCCTTGCCTTTGCTGCTTAGAATTGCTTTTGCTATTCTAGGTCTCTTCTGGTTCCAGATGGATTTTAGGAGTGATTTCTCTAGATCTATAAGGTATTGTATTTTTATTGGGATTGCATTTAATCTGTATAACAGTTTGGGGAGAATGGCCATTTTCACAATGTTTGCTCTTCCTATCCATGAACATGGGATGTCTTTCCATTTTCTGATATCATCTTCAATTTCTTTTTTCAGTGTATTATAATTTTCCCTGTATAGGTCTTTCACTTCTTTCATAAGAGTAATGCCTAAATATTTCATTTTTTTGGTTGCTAGTGTGAAGAGTGTGGCTTTTCTTATTTCTCTCTCTGTGATTTTGTTGTTAGTTTATAGGAATGCTATTGATTTCTGAATATTGATTTTGTATCCAGCTACATTACTGAAATTATTTATTATATCTAAGAGTCTTTCAATGGAGTTTAAGGGGTCTTCTATGTAGAGTATCATGTCATCTGCAAACAGTGATAATTTAACTTCTTCTTTTCCTGTCTTTAACCCTTTTATTTCTCCTTCTTGTCTAATTGCTCTGGCTAGTACTTCCAGTATTATATTAAATAGAAGTGGTGATAAAGGACTTCTTTGTCTTGTGCCTGATTTTAAAGTAAAGGCTTTCAATTTTTGGCCATTTAGTATGATACTGGCTGTTGGTTTGTCGTAGATGGCCTTTATTATATTGAGGTAAAGACCATCTATTCCAATTTTCTGTAAAGTTCTTATCATGAATGAATGTTGGACCTTATTGAAAGCTTTTTCTGCATCTACAGAAATGATCATGTGATTCTTACTTTTGGCTTTATTGATATGGTGAATACATTTATTGATTTACATATGTTGAACCATCCCTGCATGCCTAGGATGAATCCCACTTGGTCATGGTGCATAATCTTGATGATTTGCTGCATCCTATTTGCCAATATTTTATTGAGGATTTTTGCATCTGTGTTCATTAGGGAGATTGGTGTATAGTTCTCTTTTTTAGTTGGGTGCTTCCCTGTCTCTTTTGGCAAGTCATATTTGTCACCTCCCTTCCTGTTTCATCAGGAAGTTCCTATTACATTGTATAATATATACTTAGGAAAGCGAAATGTAAGTAAAATCTCAAATGTGTTTATTTAGAATAAGCTTTAACATTTTCTTCATCAAGTGTTTGTTTGCTTACTAAATCTAAAACCACAAAAATAAAATCCTATGTGGACTACAATGAAAATACAAAAAGTACACTCCTGAGCTCAGGAGGCTGAGGCAGGAGGATCACTGCAAGTTCAAAGCTACAAAGTGAGTTCAATGCCACCCTGGGCTACAAAGTCTGAACTGCATAACAAAACCCTATCTCAAAAAAACCTGAAAAAAGAAAATACAAATAAATATCTACCACAAATATAATCTCTATGTGCTTCAGTTATCACACCTGAGGCACTTATCACACATGAAAATAGCACATTCCAAGTATTGCTTATGCTCATGCCACATGTGATTTATTTTCCTCTTTTTTGATAGGACATATTTGTGATCTTCCTGTTTTCTTCAGAGGTTTTGTGGTATTTCACCTGTCTGTTCGCCAGTCTGCTCCACAATTCTTTGGGGAGTTACATGTTGTTCTTCCTTTGTTATAATTGATTTGTCAACTCCCATCTCAACCCTCTAAGAAAATTTCTCCATATTTTGTGCTTGTTCTTTTGAGGAATGTATGAACTATGAAACTGTTTATGCTTGACTCACTTAGGATTCGGTAAAATACAATCATTGGCCAGTACTTGGTGTTTCAAACTGCTGCATAACTCATCAACAGCATCCATTCTGCCTTTCATTTTGTTATAAAATGTGACCATTTATGGCTTCATTTGAGTTGAAGAGTCACTCTGTCTTTGGGGGTTTGTTTGAGTTTTGTTTGTTTTGTATTTTTTGAGACAGAGTCTATGCAGTCCAGCACAGTCTTGAGCTCACTACATAGCACAGGCTGAATTTAAGTGCTGGGATTACAGGTGTGTACTGCCATGCCCTGCTTCTCCATGAGTTTTATCCTCAGGATATAAGGGTGACAGTATCAATGCTATTTTGTTTTTCTTTGCCATAAATGAAGCCAATGTTATGTCTTTCAAAAATCCAAAGACTGCTATATGCTTATCTATTGTGAACTTACAACATTTTGGGGGGGAATCTCTGCATTGTTCTTGCAAATAGTTCTTGTGCTGGCCAACTGATGTTCTTTTAGCAAATGTGACAGCAATGAGTAGATGGTGAACCAGTTGTTAAATATGACATTTAGGTTACTTTTTTTGTACTGGGGATCTAACTCATGACCTCATGCTTGCCAGGCAGGCACTTACGCTACTGAGCTAAATCGCCGGCCCTTGGTTACTTTTTGAAATGGGTGCAACAAGTCTGTTCACAACATCATATGGTTTATTGCCTAGTGGTTGAGTTCCAGAATAAATTTCTAAATTCCAGGTGTAAAATGTCTCCACATCTACCAGGGGATATATTTTTATGTCACATTTGGAAGGTTTATTTGGCATATATTGCCAAAAGCTTCAACAGCCACAAAATGATGCAAGTTGTTCACCGGTTCTTATGTACTCAGATGGAGTATAAGTTGCTTGACAGTTCAAAACAAAACTTTCAGAAAATGAACACATAGCAGCCAAATTGTCAGACTGTTTTCTTTCTTGGTGGGTCTTTGTCATTGAAACATAGCCATTTTGAAGGAAACCAAATATGTTGAGTGTTGCTGTTCTAAAAGTCTCAATGTTACATCTTTCACTTCTCTGTAAATCCTTTAGATTCTGACAATTAGATGATAAAGTCTGCTATGAAGGCTTTTAGTTCAGATAGGTATCATGATGAATATATTTTAAGCATTACTAATGATGCAAAAAGAAAACTACTTGTATTTCATTATTAGTGTTACTTTATGACATCAGGTAGCATATCATCCATTGCAAACAATTTCCCAACTTAAATTGCAGTGCTGGCATTCTGTCTAGTAGGTTTCATCCCTAGAAAGAACCTAGTAACATATTCTGACCAAGTTCTAATGTTAGATTGTTCAGATACACATGACAACTTTATAGTATTTTGACTAGTCAAATATTTATTTACATTACTGTTTTCTTTCTCTGAGTCAAGATCTTCATTCTCTACTTATTTATCTGCCATACCCTATCCCATACCACTGTTAAAACTTTGGCTTACATGATCCAAGTAACCATCAGTAGCTGAATCACCTGATACACTTTCAACCTCCTCCCAAAGTTGTAAAAGCAGATTTTCATGTGCTATAGTATGGAATTGGGCTAATTCCATAAGAAAAAAGAAAACATTTAATGAAAAAATTATAAATACACAGAAATGTAACATGGGTAATACTTACCTGTTGATACTTTGACACACATGCATACACCTTGCTGTTCCTCTACCAACTGAGTGAACACAAAGCACAACCAGCTTCCATTATACTAAAATAAATATTTCATTAAGAAAGTATGGTGTGGGTGTCTGCTTCCCTGAGTGAGGAACCTGTTCTATTGTTGCCGCACTGAACACCTAGTTTCCTACACAGACACTTGGGGAGACCCTCGGACCATAGAGCACCAATTTAACCAGCACTCTCTCCCCTTTGTTACACCTTTGCGTGCACTGCCTACACTATCGATCCTTTAGCTTTCTCATAAGCTTGTACTGATAGCCCATTATTCATGAGAACACCTCTGACTTCCCTGAATCAGACTCAAAGTGTAAGGTACACCCTGAGTGTCATTTTTTTCCTTGAATTAGAAGGCAGTGAGTGTCAAACCACGAAACCTTAGTTTGTAACTGTTCTCTGAGCATATGTTCCTGTAGCACAGATTGCCTCTAGTAACATAAATAAATTCATTTTTTATTATTCATATTCCTAATTTGAATTTTAATGGAGAAAAATTAAATGGTTTTGTAACCTATCAAAAACCTCACCATTTTATTGTCCTGAATCCTATTTCTTCCTAATTTATAGCTTTAGAAAAAGGAACTATATTTTCTTTACTAATCTAATTGTTTCACCTTAGCAGCCTAAATTTCAGAATAGATACTTCCTCTTCGGTACGCTCTGTGGACTCTCCCTATTCAATTTCAATATTGCCAATCTTCCTTTCCCACTGGCTCTGTATAAGAAACTTCTGGACCAAAAGCCGTCTTTGGAAGATTTAAAAGAACTCAGTCCTTTTTGGGGGAAGTAAGTAAATATATTTTCTTTTTTGAAAAGGTTATGTGGGGGATTTAGCTGGGGATTTAGCTCAGTGGCACAAGTGCGAGGTCTTGAGTTAAACCCCCAGTGCAAAAAAAAAAAAAGGCTGTATGTAGTTGCAGTTATTTAGTAATAAATCACATTACACAGAGATATGTAATCATGATCTTTAATTTTAATATCATACACCCTTCCTAAGAATTTGAATTTTAGCATAACTTACAATTGTGTAGCACTTCAAAAACGTTCCTCCAATTATTACCTAGTATCATAAGCAGATCTGTGTTTGACCTCTTGATTTTATCAAGATGGGTGCAGTTATTTTGGAGAGTATCTATTATTTATGTGGTTTATCATACATGTACTATAATTACATATAGCTTAATATATATGTGTGGTTAATCAAAAATAACAATATGATTAATTTCACTAGTAATTAAGTGAATGACAATCATTTTTCTGCTTATACATTGATACTAGTATCAATTCCTTAGTGTATTGGGAAGAAGTTGGGGGAAAGATTCTTTTCTCATGTACTTGTGGGGAATATATTGGCAACATTTACACTACAGCAAGGTTTCTCTACCTCAGTGAAGTTGATATTTTGGGGGCACACACATGCCCTTGCACATGTGCTTATATTTGTTTTGCTAGGGAACCACCCTAAGCTCTTTATGCACTCTACCATTGAGATAGGCCCTTGCCCATGGGAATTTAACTCTGTTGTGGGAGCCTGTACTGGGCATTATGCAATGGTTAGCAGCATTTGGATGCTATTTACTAGATGCCAGTAGCAGCCAACCCTTTGTAGTAACAACCATGTCCAGATTTTGCCACATGTCCCTTGGAAGATACAGTATCCCTGGTTGAGAATCTGCTCTGGAGATGAGCTCCTATGTGTAATTTTCACAGTACACAGCAGTGTCTGTGGGTTAGCAGGGATTCTAACAAATTAAAACACAAAGGTTGCTTTTTATAGGAAGACAATGGGAGGTCAAAGAGCAGAAATTTACATTGCACTGATTGGATTTCTACGTCAGGCTTTTTAAAGTTAATATTTATTGCTTTTGAAATTTTATATAATCAATAAATACAATTTTTATTGCAAAATTTTCTCTAGGAGTTTGCAAGAAATTATAAATGATGAAACTGATGACATTAAAGAACTTGACATGTATTTCTTTGTAAGTATTTAGGAAAGCCTGATTATAGTTTAATCTGCACAACTGGAGATCAAATGCCAAGCCTTGCAGATGCTAGGCAAGCATACCAGCATTGAGCTTTACCTCTGAGTGACATCTGTCTCTGTAAAATAATTTCTATTACACTATTTTAACTGTGAAATTTTATTTTACAAATTTATTTCACCTCTGTATTGTGAAACTTTCCCTCACTTGTTCTTTATTTGATACCTTATATGTATGTATATATTTTTGAAAGGTCCAGTTATTCAATTAATGTAAACAGCTGAATAGAATATATTTGAAATCCACATATGACATGTATTAAGGTACCTTTCAAAGATTTATGTATGTTGGGCATAGTGGTACACACCAGTAATCCCAGTACTTGGGAGACCTGAGACAGGAGCTCACCATGAATTCAAGGATACCCTGGGTTACTTAGTGAGTTCAGGGCTAGCCTGAGCTGCATAGTGAAACCCTGCCTCAAAAAGACAAAAAAAAATTTACATTCATTTAAAAAGCTAAACTACATAAACAATTAGCTCTGGTTATTTTTAGTTTGACAGGAAAAAATATACCAGTAACAGTGGTATCCTGAGTGGTTGATTACATTAATACATTTTGGTTACAGATAACTTGGGATCAAAATGATGTTCACTTAATTCCGGATGGGATCTCTATACCTGTAGACCAAACCAACAAGTAAGTTTTGAGAACTAGAATGTTTGCTTTAATTGTACATCAAATGTTGGTACAACAATATATTAAAAATGTATTTTAACTTTTAAGATAATGACTTCAGGTCATCTTTTACAAGGATGAAAATTTATAAGAGGAAAAGATTCAGAATTAAATATTTTCTCTGTTTAACAAATATTTTAGAACCTCTATTCTGTACAAGAACCTACCCAAAGCACTAGAAAGAGAAGAGTAAGAAGGACTTTATCAGATACTTAAATTCTGGGCAGTACCAAAATGTGTAATAGATGTCATGAAATAGAAAGTAATTGTTCAAAGTGAAAGGGGAGTTGGATGGGAGGAGTGGAAAGGAAAAGAAAAAAATTAGGAAAAGGAGAAAATAGAAACAAAGCTTTGTAAATAAGGAGGGGAAGAAGGGTGGAAGAGAGGGGAGGGGAATGGGGAGAAAAAAATGAACTAAGATATGTTATGTACAGGTACAAATTGTTTATGATGAGTGTGGTCACTGTGCCTATCTAAACTGTACCAGTAAACTTAATGATAAAAAATTTAAAAATTAAAAAAAATTAAATTATGAGGAGAAATATAAATATGACTGGGACAAAACATAGTACATAAACAAGTTGTGTGATATGTTGGTAGGTAAAGATGTACTCTACTTTCAAAAAGTTAAAACCAGGTAAGGGACTAAGTGGCTACAGGTAATGGGATGTAGAAGCCAGCCAGTATCAACTTGGAGAGGGAGGTCATTGTTAAATTTTCAAAACTATTGACAGTTTTTTAAACAAGTTTATCAGCTTGGAATCAGCTATTGTGGGAATATTGATACCACAGAAGTCAGCAAATGCTACAGTTGTTCTTTCCCCTTCAAACTCCAAGTAAATATAAAAAGGCTACTTACAGCACAGAGACTGTCACTCCTCTAGTGAGAATGCCTCCATTAAAAAGATGGCATTAACCATTTTTCATGACTATTATTAAATACTTGGCCCGACAGTTTACAGAAAAGATGTTTCTCCACCTCACAATTGGAGCTACATAGTGACCCACATTTGATGATGGCTTTCTTGCTAATAGAGTCCCAGTGTTGTGCAAGGAATCACAGAGGGAAAAAACAGGAGCACGTATGTCCGTGGTAGTCTCTTTCCCTCATTTTACAAGGCCATCAGCATTCTATCATGGGTGCTTCACTGTGATACCTTATATAATCCTAATCCATTCCTAGAGGCCTCGCCTATTTTTATAGATTATGGTTAGATGTCCTCTCAAAGCCTCCTACAGTCATAGGAGGTGCTTTTCAGAGGTGACTGGATCTCGAATGTGGGGTGTAAGGATTAAAGGTGTGGCATTACTAAATCAGTCCACTGATTTGACAAAATTTTGGGTAAGATTAAGGGTATAAGTGCTACACCCGCCCTAGGACAAGCAGCCTGCATAAAATATAAGAGACAGACTGAGGTCTAATGTGTTCTTGCCTGCCTGCTTGTGGTGGACTGTTTCACTGTGACGTCCCTCTTCCTTGATTCCTTTCCTTCGATTCAGCTGACTATAGACTGACACATCTACAAACTAGGAACCAGATAAGCCTTTCCACTTTTAATTTTGGATATGGGCATTTTCTCTCAGCAATGAGAAAAGTAACTAATACAACTATAAGTACAATAATCATATTAAATTTCCAAACCATTCCACTTGGCATCAGGAAATGCATCTTGTAGGAAGTTGTATCCTGTAGTACAAGTCAAACCTTCCAGAAGTAATTTCCATGGAGTCACATGTACCAGAAGGACAGAAACAAGGACTAAGCCGATCTTGTTGTACTGAAATCTTGTGACTGATAAGAGTGGCCAGGTGGAGAGAAAACCTGGTCTGCCAGAGAGGAAAGTTACAGGTGGAGCTTTCTACAAATGAGAAAGATCAAGGCCAGAGAGAAAAATGGGAGGAAGAAGAAGCTGCTGAGACGTATAGGGTCAGGTTATGAAGGGGTTTTTTGTTTTGTTTTGTTTTTTGTCTTTTTTCTTTTTATCAGTACCAGGGATCAAACTCACAACTGCCTGCTTCCAAGGCAGGCGCTTATACCCTTGAAGGGGTTTTGATTCTTGCCAGGAAGGTGAAAAATCTGCCCCAGGGCAGTGTGAAGCCTTTGAAAGATCTTAAGCAAAGCAGTGACTAAAAATGGTGTGAAAGCCACTTACATTCCACAGGAACTGTACTCCCTATTTTCAGTGTTGATCTTCCCTGGGTGAGGGACACAGGGGCAGTGCCGTCCTGTGACCAAGTTGCAGCTGCCTGTGAGCCACAGGCTCAGGGTAGGAAATGCCCAGTGCTCTAAGGGAGTTGTGTTGCTGAGCTGGGGTGTGCAGCACGTTAGATGCACTAAGTAAACATTTGCCCCATGATACTTTCAGCTCCTGACACGTACTGGGACACACCCCAAGTGTCAGTGGAGGAGCATGTGAATTCAGATTAGAGTTTATAAAATCTCCTGGTTCCAGTGAGGAAAATGAGGGAAAAATAAAGGGTTGGTCTTTCTGCCTACGTTCTGTACATTTCGTTTTCTAGCTGAGCAGGTTTAATATCCCTGTAGCAGTTTATCTGCCATGAAGAAATTTACTTTTCTTTCTCAATAGAAATAGTAAAAACAGCAAAGTGGAGACTGTTTCCATCACTGGGTTTTTGTTTTTTTTTTTTTTTTTCATTCACCTTAGAAAAGACTATGTGGCTAAGTGTGTGGACTACATTTTCAACACCTCCATAAAGGCAGTTTATGAAGAATTTCATAAAGGATTTTATCGAGTCTTTGACCAAGAGAGGATTAAATGTTTCCGGCCTGAAGAACTAATGACAGCAGTAATTGGAAGTACGAATTATGACTGGGAACACTTTGAAAAGGTAAGTGGTTCGTAAATAACCTCTAGTTGTTCTAAAGACTTCCTTATGTCTATTCCCTCCCCCCAAAAAATCATTTTTCTCCTTCTTTCTCTTAAGAATTCACATTATGAACAAGGATATTACATATCACATCCTACTATACAGATGTTTTGGAAGGCTTTCCACAAGTTCACTTTGGATGAAAAGAAAAAATTCCTCTGTAAGTATGCAGTGCATTCCTTATCTTACATGAAGGTAAACAGCTGTGAGTGACAGTCATTCTTAATAGGAGCTCTCATGTGTAATGACGGAGCAAGGAACACCCAGGTTCCTCACCTCTGGACCACCATCCTTTCCCTTCCACAGCCGCCTTCCCTTGTGATAAAGTCAGCTTCACCCCCTTTCTGCACTGACTAACCCTCGGCCCGGTTTTTGGATTGTGTCTTCTTTTCCGTATTCCATTGTTCCAAATTAAACTTTTTGGGCCAGGCTATTATTTTAATTTAGTTATCGGAGTCTTCTGAGCCTTCATAATAACACGCTGTTTTACATAAATACAGTGGCAGATGGGAAGGAGCAGGGCAGCAGCAGCATTTGTTGTGCCTTACTGTGTGGCTGGCAGCACTGAGGACCATGCTGTCTGTCACCTCCCCTGACCCCCACCAGCAATCCGTGGGGGGAGTGCTACCCCTCCTTCCACTGTAAGCATAAGGAAACTCAGGGTTGGAGCACGGAGTGCCTTGCCCGTCTTCAGACACCAGGTAAGTGTGAGGGCCAGAATCAGAACCCTCGGGGTGGGGCCAAGCCTCGCTCTTAGGGTTCCTTGGTGGGAACAGGGCAGTTTTCCTGGACGGAATTAACTGTCTAACCCTTTCCTTACTCCATTTTCAGCTTTTTCCTCACTATTGGAGATCGAATGCACTTACCAGTCTGCCTTTGCCCACAAGCTCACTCTGACTCTGACTCTTCTCTCTTTTTCTCTCTCATCTCTTGATAGGGTTTTTGTTAAAGTGGCCACGCTGAAACTGTAAGCATCCAGCCTCCGGATCTTTGTGCCTCAGTCTCCCCAGTGCTGAGATCACCATGCCTAGCTCAGCTTTTCTTTACATATCTACTTTAGTTGTGACTGAGTATTCTGGAGGACGATTTAAACTCCTTTTACAATTTTTCAATTAAAAAAATGCTTCTATTAATCTTCTCTCTTAAAAAGAGTAACTTTTGCTTTAACTGTCTGTACCTTCAAAGGGTTCACTTAAATCCTCCCACCTGTGGTTTCTCCCCCTGACTTGGGCCAACCTAGAGTAAAACCAGGGGAGGCAAAAACCAACAAAATTAAGATTATTTGTGGTTAATTCCGATGACAGTCTGGGAGAACACAAGATTCAAGCAATGTTGAAAATGTGCTCGAGTGTTTTACACAACCATGGCTGTGTTTAGAGCTTTAAATTGTGAGTAGCTTGGAAATTATGTCACTTGTTAGGATTTAAGGTTGGTGCTGGGAAAAAAAGTGAATGGAGCCAGCCCCAGCCTCTGAGTAGTTTGGTTGTAGGGCTCACCCACCACAGAGTTCAGGGGAGGTTAACAGTGGTTCAGAGATCAGCTGCGGGGATGGCATGTCTGCAGCCCAAAGAGGCTGTAGTTCTACAGCCCAAAGGGTCAGTTCAAAGGGTCAGCTATGAACTGTCACAGACCTGAGTGTCAGTGACCTCTGGACTCCAGCATAAGTGCCCTGAACCAGTGCTGCTCCAGGTTGGTTTTTCCTTTCCCTTAAAAGCGCACCCAACTCCTGTTGTACAGTATGAGCCAGGGGCGGGGGACTCTGAGTCTCCCTGAGCACCCCAGGCTGCCCCCTTCCTCCATGCTCAGTCTCAGTCCTCCAAGAAGTTCTTCAACCTCCTGTCTCCTAGTTAAACTAATTTAAATTCATATTTTCTTGGATGTGATTTACCTCAAATGGACCACAGATTTACGGAGGACAGAAATGACATGTCATGATTTTTCTAGCCTATCTGTGCCCTGCATAGTTCACTCTGCACAAGGGTGCTCATCAATCATATATTAAATAAATGTTATTATTACTTTAAGGTTTTCTCTTTCTCTGATGTATGTTAGCTAAATTTTATTCTTTTCCAGTATTTCTTACAGGGCGTGATAGACTACATGTAAGAGGCATCCAGAATCGAGGGATAATATTTCGCTGTCCTGCAAATTTCAGTGAAAAAGATTACCCAAGATCACTGACGTGCCACAGTATTCTATATCTACCTGCATATTCCACAATGGAAAGGATGGAGGAAGCCCTTCACATAGCCATCAACAGCCACAGGGGCTTTGTGTCACCCGAGATCTTACTGCCATGATCACTTTCATGGTCTCAGGGAGGCCTCAGTGGCGCAGTCTCTCAGCCTTGGATTCTTCTGTTTCTGCTTACATCTAATCAGTACAAAAGGTTGACAGCTGTTCATAAGGATTGGATGGAAAATTCAGAGATAATAAAGTTATGAGTCAAGAGTAATATTTACAGTGGCAAAAATTACAACATTTTCTCTCTCCCAACATTGTTATTAGAATATTTGCTTTTACTGAACAATAATTATCATTTTAAAAAGCCAAATATTAAAAACATATATTTTTTAAAATATTGTACATAGCATCTAACAAATTATTTGCATGTCTGAAAGACATACTCAAGTTAGAAAAAAGTTTTGCTAATTTGAATGTTTTTCATCAATGTCAATATATATGTTATATTAAGGCATGTCTTTAGTTTTTATTTATCAAACTGCTGTTTGGAAAATCCAAATATTAACGCATTTGTTGATTCATCATGTAATTAGATAAAATTAATATTTTGGTGCCAGGAACCATTTTAAATGCAAATGCATTTATTTTGGTTAAACACTGAGGCTGAGGAAAAATGGCTATTTACTTGCAGTTGAAAAAATATGTTAAAATGTGTCTTATTATCATGGAGCAAATTAATAAAGAAATGTAATTATCCTTGAAAACAGCCAGTGAATTTTGTGGTCCATATCTATCTGATTTTATTTGTTTGTTTGTTATGATAGTATCTCACCATGTTGTACGATTTGTGTGGAACTCACTGTGTAGCACAGCTGACCTCAAACCTTCAATCCTCTTGCCTCATCCTCATGAGTACTGTGATTACAGGCATGTACCACTACACCTGGCTCTTGTGTTAAATTTTCAACTTCTTAGGACTTTCAAAAGGATTCCAAACACATACAATAATTTTCTAAAAGAATGATACCTGTTATGCTATGAATAGAACCTGGAGTGTAAGGACCTGCCCTGTACAGCGTTCCTTAATACCTTAGCAGATCCCATCTGTGAGATACTGCCCTTAGCTGCTGCACTCCAAAATGTGTAACTAAACCCAAGAGTTTCACAGACAGTTTGACAGCTGAGGCAATGGTAGGCTAGTGTTTTCACTTCTCCAAAGACCAAGAACTCTGTTGTTGAATGGCCACCAGCTTAGCCTTTAAGCAAAGCCATAAGCCCATGCTGGGCAACATCAACTTGCCCTTCTGTGTCTTCACCAGTGACATCTCTATTATGCCAGCCAAGCTGATCTCACCTAAAAACCACTCTTAGAAATGGATACTTGAAATTTCAGTTACGCTTCCCACTTTTAGTGGGACCTACTTTTAGTGAAGCACTGTTATACTGGAATTGGAACTCAGTCACCATGTGGTTAAAATGCCTCTATCAAAAACTTGTGAAGTTTGTTGTTATTCTTCCCCTCTAAATGAAAAAAATCATATAGCAATGAACTATGAGATTTATGGAACCGTACTTTCTCAGTCTTTATCCACCTACCTCTCCTCCCCACCCCATCTCACCTACGTCTTTGCAGAACACACACACACACTCACACATGCACGCATGTAGGAAAATGTGGAAATAAGGAAATAGAAAATTGCATTCCCCCACTCCACCAACTCTCCCAAGGCAGAGCCCCTAGCCAGACTTACCGAGACTTACCAAGAGAAAATGTGAAAAGACTTTTGTATCAGTACAATTAGCCATGAAACAAAGGAAGTAATACCTGACCCTGAATTTAGAAGAAAGGTAGTAACTACTTTGAAAAATTCTATTCAAATAAAATAGCAAGTTTTGAAGAAACAGGCAAATTCCTAAACAATACAGTCCTAAGAAGACATAAATATGCCTAACAAGCAATGAAGTTGGCATAGCAATAAGTAATCTGCCAACTAAAGAAAACCAAGGGTCTGATTGACTGTTGAATTCTACAAAAGATGTTATATCAGCAATGCTGTTCAAGCCCTTCAAAGAAACTGAAAGGAATGGGGTTCTCCCAAACTTGTTTATGGAAGCTAGTGTCACCCTGATTCCAAACTCAGGTATAAGACCCAACTGAAAAAAGAAAACTGTAGGCCAGTCACTTTAATCAACATGTTACAAAAGTCCTTAAAAAAATACTGGCTTAAAGAATGCAGTGCATTATCAGAAAGGCCACACATCCTGATCAAGTAGGTTTCATCACAGAAATGCAAAGATGTTTCAGCATACTTAAGGCAATAAATGTAATACTACACATAAAGAAGTAAAGTTAAAAAATGATCATTTTAGTAGATTTTTAAAAATCTTTTGAAAAAAGGCAACACTTTAATGATTAAAACAAACCTGAAGAAAATAGGTATAAAAGGACTATACCTGAGTATGATAAAAAATGATAAACCAGTAGCTAGCATCATAGCAAAAGCATTTCCTCTAAAATCAGGAACAAGATGAGGGTGACCACTATCACCTCTTTTGTCATCATAGTACTTGAAACATTAGAGCAATTTGTCAAGAGGGAAAAAAAGAGGTGCATACAGGTAGAACTCAAATTATAAGTATTAAAACTATTTTAAAGATGAAAATGAAGTAGAGCAATAAAACAGGATTTCAGAAAAAGAGCAGGAAATCAACAGTGGCTGCCATAATGTCTCTTGTTTTCTTCGAAATGTTTATACCTTCAAACACAGTTAATACAAGTCAAAATAGTATAAAAGCAATCAAAACGAGAGCCTTAAGCCTAGTGTCTGGGCTTTCAAGATCAGACACTAGGGAATCAATAATGGCTAGCATCAATAGTGACTAGAACCTTATCCCACACCATACACTAAATTAAAATCAAAATGGATTAAGGATCTAAACATTAAAACAGAAACATTGAACCTACTGGAAGATAAAACATTTGAAAACATAGGTGTAGGAAAGTTTTCTAAACAGAACCTCAGTTGCACAAGAAATAATAGCAAGGGTCAAAAAATTGGCTTATATCAGACTAAAAAGCTTCTGTACAGCAGAATAATCAGTGAAGAGACAACCTACAGAATGTGAAAGTTTTTTCCAACTATTCAGACAGAGAACTAATATCTAGAATATAAAAAGAACCCAAAGGAATTAAGTTCCCTAAAACTAAAGACCCAGTCAAGAAATTGGCAAAAAAAAAAAAAAAAAAACTATTTCTTCACGAGGAAGAAATACAAATAGTCAACAAATGAAAAAATGTTCAGTATCTCTGTTAGAGAAATGCAAATTAAAACAACACTAAGATCCCAGCAAGAATGGCAATCGTTAAGAAATCAGTAACAAATACTGGCAAGGCTACAGTGAAAGAAGTGCTCTTCACTGTTGATGCGAATGTACACTAGAATAACCATTATGGAAATCAGTATGAAGGTTGCTTAACTGCAGTTAGAAATTCTAATTGCTAGGTATCTTCCCCAAAAGGCTTAAGATCACACCACAGCAACACACGTAACCAGGGTTCATAGCAGCACAACTTGTAATGCTAAATCCTAGACAGATTTTATACGCATCCACAGATGACTGTATAAAAAATATCCATATAAAATGAAGTACTACTCTGCTCCAAAGAGTGATCTGAGACATTTGTAGAAAAATGGATGTACCTGCAAATGCAAATGTTTAGTAAAATAGACTAGACGTACTAGCTTAAATATCATGTTGTAGCTCTCATTTGAATGAGGCAAAATATAAACAGAGAAGCTGTCCAAGGGAAGAAGTGCAAGGGGTGAGGAGAAGGGGCAAGAGAAACAAGTAGAATAAAAATATGCCGGGTATAGGAACCTAATAACTTCAATTAAAGTAAACTCTATAAGCCATAACATGGGCTAAGATTCGTAATACCAACAAGGTTAAAAAGTGGAATAGAGAATTAAGAGAAGGAGGAGGGGAAGGAGAGGGAAAGGAAAGGGTATTTAAAAAAACAAAAAGCTGTGATATGTATGTGTAGCCACTTCCCAAGACAATTATAAACTGCATCAACTGCAAATATGTACTAATGAAATACATAAATCCTTTTCCAAATTTTAATATATTGAGCATGTCCAAAAAACAGTTAGTGTTTAGCTGGATGTGAAACAAAAAATTATATTGCCACCCTATTTGTAGAAAAAATTATAGGTAGGAAAGAAATTTGAGAAAATTCAACACCCACTCATGCATGATAAATATTCCTGTGAAATATGAACTAAAATGGAACTTAACCAACCTGATAAACCTACCCTAACCTCATTATTTAATGCCTTATGACTAATACTTGCTAGGGGGTAGTTTCTCTCATCGCTTCTATGAATCCTTGAACTAGAGATAGGAATGTATATAATAAGGCAAAGGAAAAAGAAAAAGCACACAGATTGGTAAGGGAGGAGTAAAACTAATTTTGTCAACTGCGCTATCTGGCATAGAGGGCTGTAAAGAATCTACAAAAAACTAGAACTCTTGAAAGAGAAAGGTCTCCAGACTTAAGGTCAACAAAGTTAACTGTATGTCTGTGTACTTACCACAGTCACAAATTGAAATTTGAAAAAGTACCATTTATAACCAAAAAGAAAAATAGGCCTGGACTAAGAATGTATTGGGTGGAAGAACACTTGTCTAGATTCACAAGTTCGGGTGTTCAGTGCTCAGCCTTAGAACTATAGAAATGAACTGTATTTCCATACACTCATCACAATTATGAATTCAAACCTGAAAAATAGTTCCATTTTTAGTTCAAAAAAAAAAGAAAAGAAAAAGAAAAACACCTGCCTGTTACCACGTGGAAGTCCAGGAGGTCCAGGGCTTCTTTTCAGGTCATTTGCGTCCTGAACAAAGAATTCAGCAAGACCGGAAAAAGGCAGCAAGGGTGCATAGTATGAAGTCAAAGAAGGTCTACAAAGCAAGAACAAGTCAGCAAAGAAGGCTCATCGAGTCTTAAACATAAAAAAAGGGGCCTTTAGTGTCCAAAATATCTGGCTTGGCCTCTACCTTAGGCATCATAAATTAGGCATTGAGACAATGATTCTATTAAAAAAAAAAACCCAACCTCATACCATAAGTAAATTGTCCTATCAAAAGCCTCAGTTGGCCTCATACCGGATGTAAATGATCTGGAAAAAAATTTTTTTATTGGCAAAGTCATATATAAAGGGATTGTTTTCTTAAAAAGAGTAAAACAAAACAGAACAAAGTGGATGAGAACAAAGCAATGCAAGCAACACAAAATTTCAAAACAAGATAACAAGGAAATCAAGAGAGGCTACCACAACATCTCCTGTTCTCCCTAAAACAGTTGTCCATATCTTGATATACAATGAATTTAAACAAAACAAAACAGTATAAAACTGATCAAAACAAATGAATTAATGCCCAAATGTATTACCAGCCTTCAAAACCAGACAATAGGAAACTCAACAACAGCTACTATCATGTCTGTTGTTCTCTTCAAAATAGCTGTTCATATTGAACCTTCACACATATTGAAATCAAGTAATAGAAAATAGACAAACCAATCAAAACAAAGAATAAAATAATTATTCAAAACAAGGTGACAGAAAATCAACAATGGCTACCATAATGTTTCATTTTCTTAAAAGTAAAGCAGTTCATACCATTATATGTAGTAAAATCAAGTCTTATAAATTCTTTGGGAGAAGTTCTAGGCATGTATAAGCCTATACATGTACATCTATC